TAAAAACTTTGGGCGCAGTTCAAACACACACTTGAGGATGGCATATCAAAATTCATGCCCACTAAAAGAATTACAGCTAAACCATCTTTTCCCTGGATAACAAAATCCATTAAAAATTAATTCATAAAAGAGACCAGCTCTATAAAAATATTAAAAAACCAAAAACAAATAAAAATAAATCTGATCATATAGAATGGCTAAAATTTAAAAATTTGAAATCGCAAATAAAAGCTAGAATTAAACAATCATATGAGTCTTGCTTAGAAAACATCCTGAACCTTGTAGATGATAATGATGAAACTAATACACAAAGTAAAGTCTGTACCAAAAAACTATACACACTTATAAAAAAAACTCTAAAAAAGATTCACAAAGTGTGTCTCCATTAAAAGATCAAAAGTCTGGTTGTCTCAAAATTAAGAACACTGAAAAAGCAAACATTCTTAACAAACAATTTCAGTTTTCTCACCAATTATACCACTTAACTATACACTTAAAGATCAATGCATACAAAAACTGAGACTCATGGATCCCAGAGAGTATTGTCAGTACCCACAAATGAATGACATCATCATCAGTAGGGCAGGTGTACTAAAGCTCCTCGCCAACCTCAATGCCAACAAAGCTGCCGGCCCTGACAACATTAGACCAATTGTCCTGAAGGAGCTGAGAGAAGAGATTGTTGACATCGTTGCAGTTCTTTTCCAAAAATCCTTGACCACCGGTAATATTCCCAATGACTGGACCCGTGCAAACGTATGCCCTGTCTACAAAAAAAGTGATACAAGTGATCCAGCAAACTATCGCCCAATTTCCCTTACATGCATCCTCTGTAAAACACTTGAACACATAGTTGCCTCTCAACTATCCTCTCACTTTACCACCCACAACATACTCTTTGATCTTCAGCATGGATTCAGAGAAAGACGATCATGTGAGACACAACTCAATGAACTGATTACCTTGTGAACAACCTTTCAAATGGCAAACAAACAGATCTCATACTTCTTGACTTCTCCAAAGCTTTCGATAAAGTAAACCATCTTAAACTCTTAGATACCCTTCAAGAACATGGTGTTTGTCCTCAAATTCTAAACTGGATACAGTCCTTCCTTATTGGCCGTAGACAGACAGTAGTTGTGGATAGTGACTGCTCATCTGAAGTTCCAGTTACCTCTGGAGTGTCCCAAGGCTCTGTCCTAGGGCCACTTTGTTTCCTTCTATATATCAACAAGCTACCATCGTCTGTCCTTAAATCCCAAGTCAGATTATTTGCAGACGACACTGCTGTATACCTAACCATCAATTCCTCCTCAGACCCCCCAACTCTCCAACATGATCTAGACAATATGGTTCTGTGGGAGAAGCAGTGGGACATGGAGTTTAACCCTTCAAAATGCCAAGTCATCCATATCACCAAAAACAAGGAACATCGCAATGCGATGCAACCAGGTTTTCAGCAAAATATTTCACAGAAGCTTTGTCATGAAGGGGCATTTGTTTTTAATTGAACTTCTAGGAGGAATTATGGCTTTTTTAATATTCCTCAAACAAAAATGATTGAGAAATTTTATGTTGTCTATTCGCCTTTTTTTCCCAAATATTTTAGAAAGGTAAACAGTACTTTATTTTTGCTTAATTTTTGCATTTTTGCGTCTCTTGTCATTTTCTTTTGTCAACAATATTGGCGTGTGGTGTTTTGTGCGATATCAGAAAAGTATGTTCACAATTTTAAAAAAATACTTGAATGATGTCTTGGAAGAAACATGGGAATTTAGTGAGCGCCAGGGCACTTTGATGACAAAGCTTCTGTGAAAGTTTGGTCAAAAATCCATTGAGAAATGTAGGATGAAGTTGCGCACTGTAGAAATTGTTCAATATATATTCTGTATAAGGAAAAAATATACAAAGGGCCATAATTCGGTCAAATATTATCCAATCACAAAACCCCGACAATATGTGCCAGGCACTTGATAACAAAGCTTCTAAGAAAGTTTGGTCAAAATCCGTTGAGAAATGTAGGAGGAGTTGAGCACAGAAGAAATTGTTCTCTATATATTCTGTATAAGGAAAAAATATACAAAGGGCCATAATTCGGTCAAATATTATCCATCACAAAACCCCGACAATATGTGCCAGGCACTTGATAACAAAGCTTCTAAGAAAGTTTGATCAAAATCCGTTGAGAAATGTAGGAGGAGTTGCGCACAGAAGAAATTGTTCACTATATATTCTATATAAGGAAAAAAACAAAGGGCCATAATTAGGTCAAATATACACCAATTGCAAAACCCTGGCAATATGTGACAGGGCACTTGATGACAAAGCTTCTGAGAAAGTTTGGTCAAAATCCGTTGAGAAATGTAGGAGGAGTTGCGCACAGAAGAAATTGTTCACTATATATTTTATATAAGGAAAAAAAAACAAAGGTCCATAATTAGGTCAAATATTATCTAATCGCAAAACCCCGACAATATGCGCCAGGGCACTTGATGACAAAGCTTCTGTGAAAGTTTGGTCAAAATCCGTTGAGAAATGTAGGAGGAGTTGCGCACAGAAGAAATTGTTTACGCCCGCCCGCCCGCCGACATACCTCAATCTAATAACCAGTTTTTTCCTTCGGAAAACCTGGTTAAAAACAAAGGGCCATAATTAGGTCAAATATTATCCAATCACAAAACCCAGACAATATGTGCCAAGGCACTTGATAACAAAGCTTCTGTGAAAGTTTGGTCAAAATGCTTCGAGAAATGTAGGAGAAGTTGCGCACGATAGAAATTGTTCACTATATATTCTGTATAAGGAAAAAGGGGCCATAATTAGGTCAAAATAGTATCCAATCACAAAAACCCTGACAATATGCCAGGGTACATGATGACAAACGCTTCTGTGAAAGTTTGAACAAAATCCCTTGAGAATTGTAGAGGGAGTTCAGCACAGAAGAAATTGTTCACTATATATTCTATATAAGAAAAAAACAAAGGGCAATAATTAGGTCAAAATATTATCCAATGCAAAACCCCGACAATACGCCCCAGGGCACTTGGTGACAAAGGTTCTGTGAAAGTTTGGTCAAAATCCGTGGAGAAATGTAGGAGGAGCTGTGCACAGAAAATTGTTCACTATATATATTCTTTATAAGGAAAAAAACAAAGGGCCGTAATTAGGTCAAATATTATCCAATCGCAAAACCCCGACAATATGCCCAGGGCACTTGATGACAAAGCTTCTGTGAAAGTTTGGTCAAAATCCGTGGAGAAATGTAAAAGGAGTTGCGCACAGAAGAAATTGTTCACTATATATTCTATATAAGAAAAAAAACAAAGGGCCATAATTAGGTCAGATATTATCCAATCGCAAAACCCGACAATATGCGCCAGGGCACTTGATGACAAAGCTTCTGTGAAAGTTTGGTCAAAATCCGTTGAAAATGTAGAAGGAGTTGCGCACAGAAGAAATTGTTTACGCCCGCCGCCCGCCCGCCCATCCGCCCGCCCGCCGACATACCTCAATCTAATAACCAGTTTTTTCCTTCGGAAAAACCTGGTTAATAAAACCATAATTAAACATAAAATATATGCTCCATGGCCAAGTCCTAGAGTCTTTACAAATGCTAAATATCTCGGACTAGGTCTATCTGCTGACCTTAAATTTAATACACATATATCTCGAATAACTTCCAATGCAAACAGATCCCTTGGGTTTATTAAAAGAAATGTCATTACTAAAAAAGAGAAAGTGAAAGAACTAGCATACAAGTCCCTGGTCCGGCCACAGGTTGAATATGCATCAACTATCTGGTCTCCTTACACTAAAACCAATATTGACAAAGTTGAGATGATCCAGAGACGTGCAATAAGATGGGTTAAAAGGGATTACTCCCCTTACTCTAGATAGTGTCACAGCCATGCAGGAAGAACTTGGCTGGCGATCCCTTGAACATCGCAGATTGGACTGTAGACTGATAATGTTTTATAAGATATACTATAACCTAGTTGCAATAAATCTCCCATTATATGTTCAAATCCCACATAGATTAACCAGACATATGCACCCCTTATCCCTACGCCAAATACAGGTATCCTCCGACTACCATAATTAAGTACTCTTTAGACTTCCCTCATAGCATTATACTAGTTATGGAATAAACTTCCTGCCACCCTGCCCAACCTGAGTCAGTTCAAACAGGCAGTGGTGGGTTTGCAGTACTAGTCTTACTCCCAGTGTTTTTAAACTATTTTATCTCTTATAATCTTGTTTCACTATTAACATTTTAACCATGACTAGAATACATTTTCAGTCTCACCTTCCAAGCATGTCAATGTTTGGACTTTTCTTTTTAGCTTTTCTTTTCACCTTTTACTAACAACCCGTCGTGCACTAAATTCCTGCCTTTAACACTCGTAAGAGGGGTTGGCAGTATCCAGAGATAGATAGCTATATAAGGGGGCCTCCGTGGCCGAGTGGTTAAGGTCGTTGACTTGAGATCACAGGTCCCTCACCGCTGTAGGTTCGATCCGCACTCGGGTCGAAATCTTTCATGTGAAGAAGCCATCTAGCTGGCTTACGGAAGGTCGGTGGTTCTACCCAGGTGCCCGCTCGTGCCTGAAATAATGCCCGGAGGGGCACCTGGGGTCTTCCTCCACCAATAAAGCTGGAAAAAAATCGACGAAAAATCTCGGCGGGACGCTCTATGATGACCCGACTTGAGTGTACGGTCGCCCATATGGGCTTTCCGGCGGCGACCTTAAATAAACGCATTAAAAAAAATAGATAGCTATCGTAAGCAAAACGACTAGAAACGACTATCTAAAAAAAAAATTTCCACTATCAAAATTATAGTCTATAACTATAATTTTGATAGTGGAAAATTTTTTTTTTATATAATTTCATCGGTGGTTTTGTATTTGGTACCTTATAGTAAGCCTTAGAGTGTTGAATTTTTTTTCAGGGTTGTAGTAGGGGTCCAGGGGCAGATAGGGGTGTGGTGTCCAAACACTGATACTGCCACCTGTGGAGTGAAACTGAAGACCACACTAAATACCGTATTTTTACAATAGACGGGCGTTACGGAATATACCCATTACCAACTTCCGGCGAGAGGTCACAACCGAAAGTAAGTTTAAACTTGTTTAAACTTTGATGTCTGTTTATGCATTTTTTATGATTATATTTGATGACTTAGATAAATACATAAAATTAAGCAATTTACATATCAGTTTGCAGTTTGTTACAGTTAATAGCTCAGGTAATAGGACAGCAGTCCAACGGATAGAACTCGTTAAAAATTAAAATTATGTGATAATGTGTTGTCTTCTTTGTTTGTCTATTTGTTTGATTTGTTCTATAAATTTGTCTCTAGGTTTTATATATTTACCTTGGTAAAGAAATTGGGAACAAGATACACTGCTCCGCAGACACTTCACTCCTCAAATTTTTGAAACACTTCACCCCTCAAGACAATTCACCCTCTAGTCCTAATTAAGACGTCACTTTGAGAATTACATTGTAGTAACGATTCGCCACATAACAATTCATCACAGTGTAATAACTATTAACCACAATGGTTAGTCAGAGTAGGATTATAACAATAATTGTTTAATTGTCACTTGTCTAAAATTTAAATTAATTAACTCGATCATTTACTTTTGAAGTTAAACAGTTAAAGAACTATGATATCAACAATACCATACTGTATCTCATTAATAGGAGAAAGAGGGTTTGAGTTGAAGATAGTTTCCCTATTTGGTCTTGGTCAAATATCACGTCACAGTGAATTTTTCCTCATATAAGTGGTACAAAATAACGGACCCATTCACAATCGCGAATTGTCTTGAAATCACAATTTTCAGAATGGGTCCGATGGACCCGTTCACAATTCTGCAAAAATTCACAATCTAACATAAATTAAGCTAACAGTTTCGTCTTTTTCCTAATTTTTTCTAATATAAGTGATTAAAATCTTAATTTGTCTTTGTGTTGATGTATGTAAAATTAACATGTCATCTTACTGCCGATATTCAAACTAAAAGTTGAGTTGCTTCCTGAATTTGATTTACAGATATTTTTTTTTATTACAGTACAATCAAGTAAATGTCCGAAATGGCAAAACTATATGTTAAACCAGGGTCTTAAACTCTTTCAATTAGTTAAAACCCAAGTTAATGGGAATTTTGCAGCAGTATTTTTGATAATTTAAACTTTGTGGACCAAGATTTTTCAAGTTGAATGAATTTAGATTGAGTCTTCGAGTCGTACGATTACCTAATAATGAAAGGCATTTTTCAGCGAACTGGTCAAATTTTTATATAAATCAAATCAAATCAAAATTTATTTATTGTCGGTATACATATATAACATTTTACAAAACATAAGCTATGTATAGCTTTTGACCGACATATTCTGATCAAATATATAGGTAAAAATCCGATTATAGTGTAACAGACAAAATTTTAATATGCCCTCAAAGAGTGGTAAATTCTTTGTGAAATATCTGAAAAATGGTCATTTGGGTAAATTTTCATTTTTAAGGAAAAATTTCAAAATTTGTTTCTTTTTATAATTGTTACGGTACCTGACACATTCACATTTTAAGGAAAAAAATTGCTTCCTCAGGAGTTCCTCAAGGTTCAGTCCTTTTTTATTTATCATTTACATAAATGACTTACATGCAAATTATTTGCTGATGATAGCAAATTATACAGTAAGATGTATTCTCAAAATGATCAATTGTTACTTCAACAAGACGTATTACGTTTATGTGACTGGTCAGATGACTGGCTGCTTCAATTTTCCATTTAAAAAAATTTAATTGCTGCAGATTGGTAACATCAAGCTCCTATATGTCTGGTTGTCTACAAAATGAAAGATTGATCCAGTCAAAATATTTCTTTACTTAAAAGATCTCAACATACTTACTTTATATCAAGTTGTTTTCCTTTTTTTCTTTTCAGATTGCTTATCGTTAGAAATTTTTTTCTCAGCATCTTGGCATTGACCCTTGTTGCAGGATGATTATACTTCAAGTTAAAGTCATGAAAAGTTGACTTTTCTGTACTAGAATAAATCCAAAACTGGTCTTTCCATACTCAACAATCACTGCCAGATAACTTAAGGTAGATACTTAATTATAGTAATATTTTTATTAAGGGATAACCTTGCATAATTTTTATAATGGACTTGTCTTTCTGCAAATCCAGTTATGTTCATTATAAATTAACCCTTAATTTGCAGGAACCAAAAGTGATAAGCCTTTTAATTCCACCTGTATAGAGCCAGGCCAGCCTTTGACAACCTCTATATTGTTGGTAGCTTAATTTTTGTATTATGTTTTGAAGTATCTTTAACTCTAGATTCACTGTTCCAAATTCAAAAAAGGGCAAGTCCATTACAAAAATCCAGCACTGGTTAAGTGTTAAAAAGGTTTAAAGGGAGACACAGGCAAAATTTTCATTTCTTAGTTTTGAATTTTTCATTCATTACTCTGTAAATGCCCTCAAAATGAATACTTTAGACAGTCAAAAGAACAAAACTTTTCTCCACATAAAGAATAAAATGGTGGTTTCCTAACTTGACCCGCCTGGGTCAGGTTAGAGCGCTAGCATTTCACAATAGTTGTCAAAGTGAACTCTGGAAATGTTAAAGAACATGTCAAATAAATGACTTTGGCTTGTTTCAATCATACAATATCCACAGTATCTGTTATTGTAACTTCAAGGGTTTGTTCAAGTCAACTGACTTGTTTAAAAACTATTTGGCGATTCTATTGGCGTCTAAATTTTGTTCATTATATGTAGATATATTTACGCTTCAAACCCAAAATATATAGCATTTAAACAGAAATTCAAGCTGAAACTTCCAGAAAAGTCATTTTAGCGTGATTTGAGTACATAAGATCATTTTATTATTTTTGTCATTATTTTGCCTGAATATCCCTTTAAGGAAATTGAAGGAGTGTATACATGTGCAATACTGATTTATTGTAGGAGTTGAATAAAATGATGTTATGCAAGCCTCTGGCCAGGAAAATATTATTTTATCCAATGAGTTTAATAAATTCAGTATCAAACCTACAAGAATATAATATTCTATTTATCAAATACCCAACATAAAAATTTTTTAAATTGAAAAAGAAGTAATTTTCATGACATGCCTTTAGTGTTACATTTAGATTTAGTGTGTTTTTTCAATATGTTTGTATAACGCAAATGACGTCACATCAAAATATATGCAAGGCATGCAATTCAATTTTACGGTGTCGCAAAAGCGGCACGGGCATGTGATAAAAAAAGTTTTTATCAGTTATAACTTATTGTTTATTATACAAAATAAATTGTGCACACTGTTTTACAACAGTTTATTTGCTGCATTTTAATAGAACCAAAGTCAACATGGTCCTTTTTCTGTAATTCTACTCTTTCAACCATGCAGACAAGATCAGCTGGCGGGTCCATGCTATCTGATCATGGTTTGCACAGTTTATTGTTCATTCAGTGCATATTTTAAAATAATTCCTTAACCCTTAAAGTGCTGGAACTAAAAGGTTAAGCCTTTGCCACCAGTATAGAGTCAAGCCAGCCTGCATATCCATGCAGTCTGACCAGGCTCTATACTGTTGGCTGACAAACTTTAAATGTTCAAATTTAATATCCCTAAAATTGATAATTGACAGTCCCAAAAATGGAAGTGGGACAAGTCCATTAAAATATTCATCACGTTTCATCAGGTTAAAAGTGATGAATGGTTTTGTTCCGATCGAAAGATTGACAAGTTCATCAAAGATATTTATCATGATAAAGGTTAATACCACCAATCTATCTGATTCAACAAAATTTGAGCCATGTCACGACAAAACCAGTGCAATGCGTTTGCAACCAGCATGGATGCAGACCAGACTTCTCATCCGCGCAGTCTGATCAGGATTCATGCTGTTCGCTATCAGTTTCTCTACTTGTAATAGAGTTTCTAAGCGAACAGCATGGATCCTGATCAGACTGCGCGGATGTGTAGGCTGGTCAGGATCCATGCTGGTCGCAAACGCATAACGTTGGTTTTCTTGTGACGCAATTCATTTTATTTTCTGTAATCATAGATGGAGAAGAGACACAAACAGATATTGAAAGATAAGCGGCCAGATTTGGTTGAAAGCTTAAACATGATTGGTGGGCTCTTTACACAGTTGATTAGTAGAGATATACTAGATCAGAGGATGGTCAGGACAATAAAGGTTTGTTTCCCATTGTTTAGTCTAGCTGGAAAAGTTACGACACTGTTTTCATGTTCTTCTCACTGAGTTTTATTGCTGTCAAGATGCATGTTCTTGATACATAAGCTTTAGTGCTAAGAAATTAACACATTTTACCTTCTGTAAAAAGGGTCTGATAACACTTGTTTTTAGCTCACCTGACCACAAAGTGGTCAAGGTGAGGTATAGTGATGGGGCTATGTCCGGTGTCAGGCGCCGTGCTAAGTGCGTAGTGCGTCGTTAGTCGTCAACAATTGGGTTGTTAACAGTCTAGCAGTCACAGTTTTGATTAGATCATTGTCAAACTTTGTCAGTATGTTTGTCTCAATAATATACAGATCGTGTTCGAGTCAAAAACTAGGTCAAAGAAGCTAAAAATAGAAAAATCTTTTTAACACTCTAGTGGCTGCAGTTTTGATCCAAATATTCTGGAAATTTGTCAGGAAGGTGTTTTTTGATGATTTCTAGGTCGAGTTTCAATATGGGTCGTCTCCAGTCAAAAATTAGGTCACATTGCCCAAATATGGAAAACCTTTTTTACACAATAAGAGGTCACATTTTTGACTCAATTGTCATCAAACTTGGCCAGGATGCTTGTCTAAGACATTTCTTGGATGCGGTTGATGGGTCAGGGGAGCGATCCAGGGCCGTCATGGCCCTCTTGTTTTTTAATGTTTTGATAGTAGATTTAGAACATGTGAGAATAGCATTGATTGTGAAATAAGTTTGTGATAAAGGTAGCAAAAAATGTGAACAAAGTAGTATTTTGACTTCTATACACAATACTAAATCACTGTAAATACACTAATTGAAAGATGATTCAGGTATATAGCCAAGGGGTGTGGAACCCATGCCCGACTTGTCCGACTCGGGACTTTATGCCTGCGGACAAGTAGATTTTCCATAGAACTTGTCTGTGGACAAGTGAAAATCTGAGCCAGTAGGAAAAACAAAATACTGTATTTTTGTCGCTTATCAATGGGGAACATTTATTGTAGTTATGATTCTTGGTTAACTGTGAGGAAATACACTTTTTCATATCAATCATTTCAACCCATGGAAGAACTTTTGTAGGAAAGCATGCTCCTTGATACATGCAGGCCATATGGAGGCAACCACTCTTTAAAGTAAATTTTAAAATGCACGTTTGGTAACAATTTGAAAGTTGTTTTGGTTCAAATTTTTACAATTGTACACATTGGCCTTGTGATGGCCTTGTGATAACCAAAAGAATCAGATAGTCTGACGCTCACACCAGTAAAAAAAATGTTCACATTAATCTTAGAGAACAAAAGAAAATTAATCATAAGCTTAATAATAAGATTTAATAAACTTCAAAAGGATAATTGTTTGGACATCTGATTCTGTCATTGTAAGAGTTGTAGATTGTTTCCTCAAACTACAGAAATGATGTCTGGTCTTCACACCTTACTATATGAAAGGACACTGTTACCTCTAATTAACTTTTGTTTAAACACATGGCCAATGTTTTGTATTTTTATATGGGCAAGAACAGTTAAGCTGCGGACAAGTAAAAATTTCTGGCCAACTTGTCCTTAGGCAAGTGGCAAAATTTCATATTTCCACACCCCTGTAGCCAGTGGCAATGAGAAACATTTTGGAAATATAAAAGGACACTAAAAATAAAATGTGTTTGTAAAATAAAACTGATTGTTTTTAAGCTTAATGGACCTTCAGGTCACTTGACACATTTTCTACCCAGACTTATTTGATTCAGTGTTTATAATACATAGGAATTTTTGTTACATTTTGTGAGAGTGTGGAAATTATTTAACAAAAAAATGTGAGAAGTTTTTTTATCTTAAGATAAATGGCTTTATTATTTTGCATAATACGTTTAAGTCATATATAATTGATGATACTATGTATTTTATTAAATTTTGATCATTTGAATTCTTGTAAAAGGATAAAGGTCTTCATGTTTTCTGACATTTTGAACTTGCACCCATGCCTTCACCACTCAGTCATATTGGCACCAAAATGTCAGAAAATGTCAAGAGATGGTTGCATGAAAATATATTTTTATCTCCCTTAACCATTAATTAAGACAGATATATCTCTTTTACATATTTACATAGAAATAATTAAAGAAGTCTCATTTTATATATGGATTTTAGAATGGAAAGACAGAAGATGAAATGGCTGAGGGTTTACTAGATTTTTTACCAAAATCTAACCAAGGAGAAAAGACATTTGACCTTTTCTGTGAGGCGTTAATAGCTGATTCCCAGAGTAGTATTGTCAGATTGTACCTTAAGCCAGACAGCAAAAAGGAAACAGAAGAGAAAAATGTTGTGCAGGAATCTAATGGAGCAAGTGCTGTCAATGAGACACTATCACAGGTATCTGGGTCACAGGTGACCGGACTCGGTCCAACCTATGTCAATATAGGAGAGGGTGTAGAATACAGAGACGGTGAACGTTCGGTCCAGAGTCCAGGTCACGTTCAAACTGTAGCCATTCGAGAGGAACTGCAGACACAGATGTACAGACGTAGTATCGAACCAAGAGATCTGCATCACTCACAGTCTTCCCCTAACTTGCCTAGCAATTCTGAACACGATGCCATGTTCTTTTATCAAAGCACTCTTAGAAATCCACATGCTGTGTACAGTGTTTTAAATGATAGGTGCTCTAATAGATCAGACAAAGAAAGACAGTTGTTCAATATGGGCTTGCCACTTGCTTCAGTTTCACAAATCATGAACGATTACTATATAGATCCATTGTTAGTTAGTGATTCTGGAGGTATAGGTCTTCCAAAAAATGTGTCTTCCAAAGATATTTCCCAAAATCCCTATGCTCAAAAACCACATGTGTTCAACAGATCTCCATATACAGAGATTACTCCAGCTTCCAGTGGACTTGTTTTAGGAATGAGTCCACAAAAATCATTTGCTTTCCAAACTAGAGATAAGAATTATCCACCAGTATTACAAGAAAGACACTTCCTCAATGCTAGTAAAGAGTATATGGAAAGAGTACAAGGTGTAGACAGAAGTAGTGAACAAGAATTGGAAAATATATATTGTAAACAAAATGAAGAGCTATTCAGTGACAAAATCAAACAAAACTATGAGAGATATAATGAAAATTCCTCGAGTCGTAGAAATTTAACTCCACAAGTTGAGGAAATCCATCCAAGTCCATCCAGATATTCCGAGGCTCGTAGTATGGTTGAGATTGACAGGCATATAGAAACAAACAACAGCTGTGACGGTAGTCTGCAGCGAAGTATGATGTCATTCCCTCGACATGTAAAACTGTTGCCAACCGCCGGTCATCCTGATCTCCATGGTAAAGACTCATTAAGGGGAGATAATGGCCAATCACCGAGGCTGCTGAGGGAATGACAAGTGTTGGTATGTACATTTCTGTTTGAACTCCCTTTTTTGATGTCAGTAACGATTCCTTATCATTTTGCATTGTTGTAGACATTTAATCACATAGCTTGATAGATGGTATAGGCTTCATTTAAGGTACATATACTGGTAACATTTGGTTCACTGATTAATTTTTCTTTTGAAAGACAATTAAATATAATTTGCTTGAATGGGCAGTGGTGTTGCCTGTTGGGTGACAATATGTATTTCATGCTTAGCATTCACTGAGAAGTTTTCTGGGCCTATGCTCTTATATGATTAATAAGGTTGTAAAATTGCTTTATATTAATTATACAAATATGTGTTTAAATTTATACATGTGTCTCAAGAAATGATTTTAAGATTTTTTTTTTAAATTCAAGATACCATGCATAAACGACCATTGACAGAAGAAATTGAAACTGGTGGTAAGTCTTTTGGTCCTATAGCTACATATGAAAGGCAATGGAAAAAGGCATTTTATATTGCTCACATATTGTTGTCACAAATTACTTGAGCAGTATATTGTACATACAAGGAAATACTGACAAATTGTTGCCATAATATTATGACTTTTTATAATGTCAGTGTTACTTAAAACCCTGATCAATCCAGATAGATGTTCATCTGTAGAAAATGACCATATTTTCATTACAAATCTTCTGAGGATATATAATATTAACTAATCAGAAATCTTTTTTTTCAAAGAAGAAACAATTTACCATTAATTAACCTTAAAAATTAAAAATTAACCTTACAAATTTATACGGCATTAAAAGGAGTACAGAGCAGTATAATCTATTTCAAGCTATTTGCAACCACTTGAACATTTGTTTTCATCTTGACGAATATCATACCAAAGTACATGTACTTTTATTAAAAAGTCATGTTTGTTAATTTTCAATAAAGTGTGAGTTGCTTACACAAAGTCTTTGCTAAACCTGTTAAGGTAAAGAAAAATATTTTGTGAGAAAATCATTTATTCTTTACCATGTGGTATGATTAATGTGCATTGTACATATATAACAAACACATCAGCAAGAAACTTGACATATGTGAGCATTACAATATTGTGATTTTAAAGGCTTTGAAATTTTGAGATATATTTCACAATGCACTGATACCTCTGCCTCCCTTTTATATACACAGCAAAACGTTTTAGAGAAGATGTGGATACATGCAGTCTACCAAATCTGATCCGACCTGAGAGGACCCCTACATTACCAGTGTTAGAAGCCCGAGATGATCAGATAGTGAAGATTCCAGTGCTAGAGGAGCCATGGAAACAACCGTCCATGCCGGCAGTGGTCGTACAACCTGACCAGAATCTGGAGAAAAATCAGAGGTCATCATTGCTGGGGGCCATGGATGACCCAGAGATTGACCTCACTGACGGACCAATTAATGTCAATGTTGAACTGAGCACCAGAAAGTTTTATTTGGAACATTATAAACAGGTAAGAATAGTTGTCCAAAAAAAAGTTGAATTTCTTTAAATGCACATTACTGATAAAAAACAATTCCTTTTAAAATATAGGTGGTTAAGATATAATTTCATGTAATAATTATTTAATTTTGGTTGCACTATCTTTAAAAAGAACTTTAGCAGATGCACTTCTTTAAAGTTGTAGTTAAATTTAGTTTATGAACTTTTATGAATGTTTTTTTTGTATGGATAATTATTTGTTAAACCTTATTGAGCTCTTATGTATGATTTGTAAGTATTTTTATATTGACACTATAACAGTTTCCTATATGAACTACATAACAAAATACGAAAAAAGTAAAATCCTAAAATCTACATGTACTATAGGCATATGCAATGAGGAGGATACCTCGTGGTAAAGCATTGATTATGAACGTGAATGAGGTGGTGGGTAAATCAGCACGTAGAGGTACTGACATTGATAGGGACAATCTACATAATCTGTTATGTCAGATGCATTTTGATGTAACTGTATACAATGATGCTGATGGACTTACAGCCATGGTATATTTTACATACTATCATCATAATAAGTTCTTTATGATTTAGATTTTATTTTGAGTTGTCTGATCTGTATTGTAAACATTGTATTTATGCCCCCTCCACACATCGTCAAGGCTTCAAGTTTTAAATGTCAGAGATTTTCAATGTCTAATTCTCTCTGCTATGAATTTTGTGATTGAAAATAGATCATTTACTTTTTCATTTCAGTCTGTATAAGGCTAACTGATTAAGAAAACATATTAAGATTGTTGCAGAAAAAAAATTACTGAAATTCAGTTATTTAGGAAAAAATATTCAGAAAGACTTAGGACATCTCTGTTAAAGGAAAATAATTTCTGTATAACTTTGTTGTGCAATTTACATTCCCTTAGAAAATAAAAATTCAGCCTTATTCAATTAACTCTTAAATCTTTAAGTAAATATTAGTGTCCCAAGAAAATACTTGTACTAAAACTAAGAGCCATTTTGCTGATTTATATTTATACATTTATAAGATTAAATATTGAATTTCAATATCATTATATTCTGAATTCAACAGGAAATGGTTCAGAAGTTACAAGATTTCTCTCAGCACAGCAGTCATGTGAGCGGGGACTGCGCTGTTGTTTGTATACTGAGTCATGGTGAGGAAGGTTATATCTTTGGTGCAGACGGCAAGAAGTTTGAACTTGACGCCGTGTTCTCACTGTTTGATAACACTTGTTGTCCAAGTCTGAGAGGAAAACCAAAACTGTTCATTATACAGGCTTGTCGTGGAGGTAATGTTTTAACTTGTTTTTTTTTTTTTTGGATAAATTATTTTTTAGAAATTTATTTTAGTTTGATTCTGTTGGAAGCTATAAGCTTATTGAAGCAGTAGGAAATTCAATCCTGGAATCAACCAGTACTGAGCAATGAGTGTAAAGTTCCTTGCTCAAGGAAACAACAGCTATCCCCTGACTTGGTCCAAACCCACGCGGCCGGCAATCTTTATTTTACTAGTCCAACATGATAGCCACTTGACCATGCTGCCAATGTTCATAAATTGTTTATCAAAAAAAGAAAAAAAATGGTATTGTTATTTATTGGCTATTTAATACCGCCTTTGATGAGTTTTGATGCAAAGAAATTAAACAGGAAGGGGGGTAAACTAGATATTTGACAGTTTTGTACAATATCCTTGTATCATTAAGTAAATCATGAAAAAAAAATACAAGAAAGTAACTTTTTCAATTTAATTAAAGTATATATCATAATTTTATAAGTACTTGTTAATTATTTGTAGACAATGACAGGACAATACAGATACTATTGGACTCATACACAGCTGCAAAACCTATATTAGACTTGGCTTGTGTCTCGTCCAATATAGCTTTGACAGCTATACATGCAATTGAATTCAGTATTGTACACCAGAGTTTATTCTGGCAAATTTTGATGACCAATATTGTGTCATGTTCCCAATGCCAAAATTATGTTTTTTCCCCAATTCCAAGAAGACAATTCCCAGTTCAAAGAATAAAAAAATAAAATAAGTAAAATTATTGTCATTTTTTTACATTTAACTGTTCTGTGCAAAAGCAAATTGTTATCTTGTATTCCAGATAGTAATATGAGCTTATGAGTGATATGTAAAAGGACTTTAATTATCCAAATATTTGGTGTCAGTTTTTCCCAATTTGTCTAAAACATTGTGAAAATAAGATTCCCAATTCTGGGTGTCGTGCCCTGTACCTGACTATTATTATAATAACCATGTATTATTGCAGGTGCACTAGACCGAGGTGTGCAGTATTACCCAGATGAACACGATGGGTCAGATGCTCGTGTTAGACAGGTGCCCTCTATGTCTGATATGCTAATATGTTACCCGACACAAAATGGTGAGTGGTTGTCTAAATCTGGAAAAAAGTATGGTACATGTATACAGATAGGGCCTTTTACGTTTAGAAGTTAATGCCATTATTATTGAGTAATTTCTTGTGAAATTAATGTTGAATGGGTCAATGGTGTAACATACAATCCAACCAAATAAAAATAGATAAATAAGAAGGTGTATATATTGACAGGGTACTATGCATGGCGTAATCGTGACAGGGGAAGCTGGTATGTAGAGGCCCTCGTTCAGATATTTATGAAGTACGCTAGATGTGAGGATGTATGTACCATGCTCAATAGGGTAAGTACACAAAGTATTTTTTTCCAGGTGCATAGATTAAAGATTCAAATCTATTTTGACACTTTGGACTGGAAGAATGAAAATATGTTAAAATACCTTCTGAAACCTTCTAACTACATAAATGTAGAATAATATAATAAAAATAAATAAAAATGTAGAGAGCTAAGAAAAGAAATGAAAAGTATATAGTCTTTGGTTAATATTAGTAAATATTTGATTACACATGAAATATGACTAGAGGTCATTTTTAGCTCACCTGTCACAAAGTGACAGGGTGAGCTTTTGTGATCGCTTTTCGTCCGGCGTCCGTCCGTCCGTCGTCCGTCCGTAAACTTTTACTTTAAATGACATCTCCTCATAAGCCAATTTCATCCAAACTTCACAGGAATGTTCCTTTGGTGGTCACCTTTAAAAATTGTTCAAAGAATTTAATTCCATGCAGAACTCTGGTTGCCATGGCAACCAAAAGAAAAAACTTTAAATTCTTCTTTTAAAAAACCCAAAGAGCTAGAGCTTAGACATTTGGCATGAAACATCTTCTAGTGAGTGTCTACCAAGATTGTACAAATAAAAGCCCTGGGGTCAAAATTGGCCCCGCCCCAGGGGGTCATTGATTTTCCCTTTATGCATATAGTAAAAACTTAAAAAATCTTCTTTTAAAGAACCCAAAGAGGTAGAGCTTAGATATTTAGCATGAAACATCTTCTAATGAGTGTCTATCAAGTTTGTTCAAATAAAAGCCCTGGGGTCAAAATTGGCCCCGCCCCAGGGGGTCATTGATTTTCCCTATATGCATATAGTAAAAACTTAAAAAATCTTCTTTTAAAGAACCCAAAGAGCTAGAGCTTAGATATTTGGCATGAAACATCTTCAAGTGAATGTCTACCAAGACTGTTCAAATAAAAGCCCTGGGGTCAAAATTGGCCCCGCCCCAGGGTGTCATTGATTTTCCCTATATGCATTTAGTAAAAATTTAAAAATCTTCTTTTAAAGAACTCAAGGAGCTAGAGCTAAGATATTTAGCATGAAACATGTTCTAATGGGTGTCTACCAAGTTTGTTCAAATAAAAGCCCTGGGGTCAAAATTGGCCCCGCCCCAGGGGGTCATTGATTTTCCCTATATGTATATAGTAAAAACTTAAAAAATCTTCTTTTAAAGAACTCAAAGAGCTAGAGCTAAGATATTTAGCATGAAACATGTTCTAATGGGTGTCTACCAAGTTTGTTCAAATAAGAGCCCTGGGGTCAAAATTGGCCCCGCCCCGGGGGTCATTGATTTTCCTTATATATGTGTATAGCAAAAACTTAAAAAGTATTCTTTGAATAAATCTTAATAGCTAGAGTTAAGATATTAAGCATGAAACATCTTCTAGTGAGTGTCTACAAACTTTGTTCAAATAAAAGCCCTGGGGTCAAAATTGGCCCTGCCCCGGAGGTCATTGATTTTCCTTATATGTGTATAGGAAAAACTTAAAAAACATCTTTGAAAAAACCCAAATAGCTCGAGTTTAGATATTAAGCATGAAACATGTTCTAGTAAGTGTCTACAAAGTTTGTTCAAATAAAAGCCAAAACTGGCCCCGCCCCAGGGGTGTCATTGTTTTTAACTATATGTGTATAGTAAAAACTTAAAAAAATCTTCTTTAAAAAAATACAATGAGCTACAGCTTAGATGTTTAGCATGAAACATCTTCTTATGGGTGTCTTCCAAGTTTGTTCAAATAAAAGCCCTGGGGTTTAAACTGGCCCCGCTCCGGGGGCCTACATACAGGTGAGCGACCTTAGGGCCATCATGGCCCTCTTGTTACATGATTGGACTGGAAATAATTTTTCAACATTATTGCTCCATTTGATGTAGGTCTAATTCAATAACTTGTGTGAAAAATTTCAGATCATTTACTCACTCTATTTTTCCTCAATAAATTTTCTTATGATAAAAAATGACCCAAAATTGAAAAGCATTGTAAAGTTTTTCACTCAAATGAAGCTAAAGATAGGACTAAAATACGATTTTCTAATATTTCATGAGAATATTCTTTTGCACATCTTTCTGTTTTAAGTGCCCCAGCTGTCTATTTAAGAAATTCAACTTTTATGCATTTAAGCTTTTGAATCTCAGTGTAGTTCCTTTAAAATTTATATGCTATTTAAAGAGATAAAAATGCCTTTTTATTGGTGTCTAAGGAGAAAGCTAAAGGAATTGTGGCAGCAATTTGCTTCATCTATTTTTAGCGAATAAACATAAAAAACATTTGATTACAAAGCTGGGAAAATTTCCACTTTAATTTTATTGGTTTTACAACTTTATAGATGAACAGTTTTTTTTGTAAACAAAAATGACTGACAGCATGAGTAAATTTCAATGTATTATTTATTGTTAAAATCTATTATCTAATTAGATTTTATGTTATAAAATAAAAAAAACATAATTTCATATAACAAATTGTTACATTTATTATCTGCAGAGAAAGTATAAAAAAAATCCATTATACTTATATTGTAATATGTCATATTTTGATTACTTTTATAGGTAAACCTGCTAGTATCAAAGAAAGTGTCACATTGTCCTAATATAGATATGGACCAAATGAGTCAGATGTCGGAGTACAAGAGTACATTGAGGATGCCTCATCTATACTTCTTCCCTGGTATTGGTGGCTGCAGCTGAACACTCTATGATAAATCTGTGTCCATCCATGTTGAAGGTGTTTGTGCATATAAAATTACTTGTTAACATTTCAAGGGAAAAGGTTTCTCTCTTTGTCCTCGACCTTCTGAATTTCTAAAATTGATCAGCTCAATTTTCACTTCGAAACAGTTGATTGTTAATTTTTGTGGATGTCATGATAAAAAAGAGGAAGTTAGTTGACCAGCTGTATACTGATTGAATGAATGTTCAGATCTTGTTCAAATGTTCAGACTGCTAGGTTGTTCAAACTGGGCTTGGTCTATACAGATTGTAAGAGTTCAGCATTGTATGGGTAAAGAGGTAATCTTCAACTGTTGTATATTTATTTAACACCTATATACTGTATTAAGGCATTTATAATACTGTAGATATATATTTTTCATACTCTAAATAGTGCTACAAACATCATAATCATGTTTCTGAAAGGTATTATTTCAATAAATTTATCTCCTTTTTTGGTTAAGGTTATATAGAAATTGTAAAATGATACATTTTGTTGTAATTGTTTTTCCCTATATACATGTATCTACCAATTTAAGGAAAACTTTGTTTCAAACTCATTCATTTATTTGTACAAATATGTACATAGCTGGTTGTGTGTGGTTAGACATGGTAACTTGAAATAATCATGCTGTAAATTTGTATACTTGGAAGATTTTCTATCAGGAATGATAATGCAACCAAGGGAGGTAATATTCTCTATTTGGAAAGCATTTATAAATTATCAGAATATTTATTATATATGATTGTACTCTTCCTTTATTGTTGATAATTTAAATGCCATATTGATTCACACTTTAAATATCCTGTATGTTGTAATTGAGGTTGTATACCACTCTTAAGTGAAATTATATATATATAATGCTTATAAAACAATTTTCAAACATCGAAGAATATGTAAAATATGTACTGCAAATATTTGTTCATATTATCTGTATTCATGAAAATATATGAGTTCATTTCTTAGTTGAAAAATTTGACTTAGACTTTATAGAAAATAGATTTTTTATTACCTCCCTTTATTTACATGAAATGTTAAATTCGGTAATGTCTTCATAAATAATGCTTTTTGAAACTTAAAAAATTGATAAATCTTAATTTGAGCATCATATTTTTGATATAAAACCATAACAAAATTGTGTTACAGGATCTTTAATGAATACCCCGTGTTTAAGGACTAATTTGGCTCAAATCTGTCTCATGTGAGCAAGCATTTTACAAGGTCAAAAATCACACAGTCAATTTGATCTTAGAACTAACTCACGGATTGCACATTTGTGACTATAACTAGCGTTGGATCTCATGTGAACAATATAGGACCATCACAGCTCTCTAATGGTGTTTTTGGTGTGCAAGATATTGTTGCCACATCATTTAGTATCTTTTTGAAGTTTGGTAACCATATTGAGATTCAGTATGGACCCATAAATTGTTATGATATACCGGTATATTTTCATCCGTTGTTTTTACACATTCCGTCCCAAACTTTATGTGTTCAGTTTTTATTAAATCTCAAATAATTGTACTGTATAAATATTATTGTATATTTTACTGAATTTAGTATTGTTATAATGCAGGTTTTTACCAATTTTGATAAATTTTATTATCCATTTTATTATATATTAAGATAATATTTTTATGTGTTTATGTGTTTTTTTTCTTTTCTTTTCTGGTTTTGAGAGTTTACATATGGTTTATGGTTTTAGCATGAAATTCTTTTGTGAAATCAGTTTTTCAAATTTTTTGTTCATTTAATGAGAAAATCAATGAAATTATTGATTTGAAGATGATTTTGTAAACTGAGAAAAGTTCTACTGTTTACACTGTTTCTACTCTTTATTGTATATACAATGTACATCTTTTTAAGAAAGAGATCTTGATTAATTCATTGTGTTTTGTTTTCTTTTTAAGTTTTTATGTTAATATGAAGATTTTTTCTTTCTTTTTGAATAAGATACATGGTTACGGAACATTGGTGGTTCTACTCAGATTTCCTTTTGTGCCTGAAATAATGCACAGTGTCACCTGGGGTTTTCCTCCACCATTAAAGCTGGAGAGTAGCCATATGACCTATACTGTGTTGGTGCAACAAAACGCCCAACAAATATATATATATTATGCATTGTTCTTTAAGTTTTATTATTTTTTCTTCATCGACATATATAGCATTGTTGAATAGTTTTATAAATATGTATAGAGAGACGGGGGGAGAGAGATATTTGTAGATTTTATAACTGACGGAGGGTTATTTAGTACAATACTGTTATCTAACATAAATTATTTCCCTTGTTAAAACCTTTGTTATTTGTTGAAAAAATTGATATTTAAAACATTTTAAAATTTTGTGTTTTAATGAAGTTTGAAGTGGAAACTAATAAGTCCAGCAACTATTTTTAATCTGTTTGTTTGGGGAGGGCTCATTTTGTGACTTTATTTCCCCTACTTACTTTAAAGTTGGGTGTGTACTGTTATGGAAAGTTCTGTATGTACATGGGTTATCCAATAAATAACCTGAGAAGGAATTAACTGTGGTTCATGTAACTGTTGGTAGGGACATTGTCCATGGCAAATAGAATACCCATATTGAATTTAAGGTCATTAGACCGCCTCCGTGGTCGAGGGGTTAGAGTCGATGACTTCTAATCCAGTTACCTCTCTGGCCTGGGTTCAATCCCCGGGAGATGCTTTGGTTGTTAAGCACGGAGGAAGGTAATCTAGTACTGGTGTAACTCTCAAGGAACAATGGTTAGGAAACTACCCGCCTACATGAGGGAAAAGGTGTAAAATGAAACAAACAAATAAACAGGTCAAGGTCATCAGAATATTCAATGTAAAATCCTTGTTTGATCAATAACTTGAGGTGGAATAAGCTATGATATACACTGTATGCAACTTTGTGTAGACGCAAAGTAACACTGTGTCAAATTAGAGGCAAGAGATTTGATGTCTTTAGCCAAAGAAACCTTTTGTCCTTTTAATATTTTCAAGTGAATTCACCCATAATGGAAGATCTGTTTATACTAAATCACTTAATCAATTTTATCAACATTTTTTGTTGAAGAAGTATTTTACAAGAATATCCAAATGATACATTATGATTGTATTCAGACTATGTTCATTGTAGATCAGTCCACTTTGAGCAAGTTCTATAAAAACATGTACTCCAACAAAATTGTTGTACAATAAAAAAGAATAGATCAACATGAGATATGCTCTGCCTTTTTGTTTACAAATTCCTTTAATGTTATTGCTTTTTAGTTTAGAGATGAATCAGAATGTTTATAAAGGTGGTATTTTATAATTTGAACTGGTAAGATAAAATTCTAAGGTTGTTGATCCCCAATGGTGTAGACAACAGAATATGAGCCGCGTCATGACAAAACCAGCATAATGGGTTTGCGACCAGCATGGATCCAGACCAGCCTGCTCATCTGCGCAGTCTGATCAGGATCCATGCTGTTCGCATACAAACCCTATAACAAGTAGAGAAACTGATAGCGAACAGCATGGATCCTGATCAGACTGCGTGGATGCCCAGCTGGTCTGGATCCATGCTGGTCGCAAACCCATTATGTTGGTTTTGTCGTGATGTGGCTCATATAAAGGGAGCAACTTAACATTCAAATTCAGGTGAAAAATCTTGAAACAATGGTGCAGACTTACATTCTGCTAATACATGGCCGAAAAATTACAATTGTGTATCTTCAATTTTCTTCCACATTATTTATGCGATTTTTGAAAATGACATAAATTTTACTATTAAGTTTATAATTTAAATCACTGGTATGAAATATTGTTCACTTGTTTTGGAGTACAACAGATGTATTAACTTTTTGTAAAACATTCCTAACAAAGTGATAAAGCCAAATATATTTTTGTCAATAAAAATATTGTTTTATTTTGTTCTTATTTAATTCCAAGCTTTTGTCAAAATATGCTCTTGTCACCAAGTTTTAAAGGTCCCAGAAAATAATTTGAAACTTTCAAATCAATTATGGCCACCTACAATTAAATAGAAGGGGAATAGTAGGTAATAGTTAATAGTATGATAATAGTTAATATAGTATGATAACCGCCATATGATAACATCTGCAGTTGTTTCAAAATTCAAGCTTGTATCAGTTCATGTTAAATTCTGCTTAAGCCAGTGCTAGGGGGCTTTGACGATAGTTTGCACTTGACAGTACCGTCCATGAACAGGCTCAATCAAACCGAGCCTGCAACATTTTCAATTTTGCTGTGTGGGACTTTCTTTAGAGATTCTTATTTTCTCTATTTTACATAGCTTGAAAAAACAAGAGGGCCATGATGGCTCTGAGGTCGCTCACCTGTATATAGAACACCCCCCCCCAACCCCCTCCCCCCCCCCCAACATTGCAGGGCCAATTTAACCCAAGGGCTTTTATTTGCACAAACTTGGTAGACACCCATAAGAAGATGTTTCATGCTAAACATCTGAGCTCTAGCTCATTGGGCTCTTTAAAAGAAGATTTTTTTTAAGTTACACTATACACATTTAGTTAAAAACAATGACACCCCTGGGGCCGGGCCAGTTTTGACCACAGGGCTTTTATTTGAAAAAAAATTTGTAGACACTTACTAGAAGATGTTTCATGCTTAATATCTAAACTCTAGCTATTTGGGTTTTTCAAAGAAGATTTTAAGTTTTTGCTATACACATATAAAGAAAATCAATGACCCCCGGGTCGGGCCAATTTTGACCCCAGGTCTTTTATTTGAACAAACGTTGTAGACACTCACTAAAAGATGTTTCATGCTTAATATCTTAACTCTAGCTATTTGGGTTTTTTCAAAGAAGATTTTTTAAGTTTTTGCTATACACATATAAGGAAAATCAATGACCCCCGGGGCAATGCCAATTTTGACCCCAGGGCTTTTATTTGAACAAACTTGGTAGACACCTATTAGAACATGTTTGATGCCAAATATCTTAGCCATAGCTCTTTGAGTTCTTTAAAAGAAGATTTTTTAAGTTTTTACTAATTATGCATATAGGGAAAATCAATGACCCCCGGGGCAGGGCCAATTTTGACCCCAGGGCTTTTATTTGAACAAACTTGGTAGACACTTATTAGAACATGTTTCATGCTAAATATCTTAGCTCTAACTCTTTTGGTTCTTTAAAAGAAGATTTTTTAAGTTTTTTACTATATGCATATAGGTAAAATCAATGACCCCCCGGGGCGGGGCCAATTTTGACCCCAGGGCTTTTATTTGAACAAACTTGGTAAACACTTATTAGAACATGTTTCATGCTAAATATCTTAGCTCTAACTCTTTTGGTTCTGTAAAAGAAGATTTTTTAAGTTTTTATTATATGCATATAGGGAAAATCAATGACCCCCTGGGGCGGGGCCAATTTTGACCCCAGGGCTTTAATTTGAACAAACTTGGTAGACACCTATTAGAACATGTTTGATGCTCAATATCTTAGCCATAGCTCTTTGAGTTCTTTAAAAGAAGATTTTTAAAGTTTTTACTATATGCATATAGGGAAAATCAATGACCCCCCGGGGCGGGGCCAATTTTGACCCCAGGGCTTTTATTTGAACAAACTTGGTAGACACCCATTAGAACATGTTTCATGTTAAATATCTTAGCTCTAGCTCTTTGGGTTCTTTAAAAGAAGATTTTTTAAGTTTTTACTATATGCATATAGGGAAAATCAATGACCCCCCAGGGCGGGGCCAATTTTGACCCCAGGGCTTTAATTTGAACAAACTTGGTAGACACTCACTAGAAGATGTTTCATGCCAAATATCTAAACTATAGCTCTTATGGTTTTTTAAAAGAAGATATTTAAAGTTTTTTCTTTCGGTTGCCATGGTAACCAGAGTTCTGCATGGAATTAAATTCTTTGAACAATTTTTAAAGGTGACCACCAAAGGAACATTCCTGTGAAGTTTGGATGAAATTGGCTTAGTGGTTTATGAGGAGATGTCATTTAAAGTAAAAGTTTACGGACGCCGGGCGAAAAGCGATCACAAAAGCTCACGCTGTCACTTTGTGACAGGTGAGCTAAAAAGTCTTCAAAAACTACACTATTGTCCTATATCCTTCTCCACTGTTTGGAGGAGCTTAAAACAGTAAAGAAACCATTCTTAGAAGTGCTGGTATAAAAACCAGGTCTCTAGGTCAAAGGTCGAGGTCATTAAAAAGCGCTTGTCCAGTGTAAAACTTCTACATGCATAGAGGTTTTCAATTTAACATTGCACAAATGTTCACTATTTTGAGGCAGAGTGACACATGCAAAATTTAGGTGCCTGCAGCCAAGGACAAGGTAACATATAGGGGTCAAAGTTCAGATAAAATATGATGTATCTTTATGTCAAATTTCATTTGAATGTGTGTGATTGTTGCCAAGATAACAAATGGGAACTGATGATGACAATAATGGAACAGGGTAACACTATATGCCCCAGCCATTTTATTGCGGGTCATAAACATATTGAAAGAGCAATGTAAAATTTGAAAAATACAACCACAAGTCATCAAGTTTTTATATATTATATGAATTTATTTAATAAACATCTTATGAAGTCTAATTTTATCATCACATAATTCTTCTAAAGCATTCTAACATTTCTAAATCTTACATTTTCACAAATATATTGATTAACTGCTGTCAAAAAAATCTACTCATATCAAAATGTTTTATTAAAAAAAAAAGAAATTGTAAACAACAGCTGATGCGCCTTGTTAAGCAAATTCCAAAATGTTACTTTACATAAAAAAATAAGAATATTTCTATACTTTTATATTAAACATTATTTTATCAATAAGTTTTGTCAGCTACAGTAAACTCCACTTATAACAATATTGCATATAAAGATAAACTGCTTATAGCAATGCTGTTGCCTCTGTCCTGATTCTTTCCGCAAATTGGTTGACCTTAATATAAGATATCCGAATATAACAAAATGAATTAGACAGTCCTTAAAATATCTTATATGGGAAGTATAACAAAAAAGTAATATTTATGAAAGTTCTCAGAGTACTGTTGGATAGCAAATTTAGAATAAACAAAATTTGAGCCGCGTCACGACAAAACCAACATAATGGGTTTGCAACCAGCATGGATCCAGACCAGCCTGCGCATCCGCGCAGTCTGATCAGGACCCATGCTGTTCGCTTACAAACCCTATAACACATAGAGGAACTGATAGCGAACAGCATGGATCCTGATCACACTGCGCATTAGGTTTTGTCGTGGCGCGGCTCAAATGATTTATTTGCATTGTAATATAGAATTTAGTATCTTTAAATTTATATATAATACAATGTTTTACAAGAAACTTAAAACTTTCTACAAATATTAAATTCCTTTTGTTACTTGACTAAATATAGAAAGTTTTAATTGGCCTCGTTGTTATTAAACATTAAAATGTATATTGATTGCCTTTCAAATATCATTTCAGTTAATTCTGCCATTCTAATTCATCAATCTAAAATTAGTTTTCTAGGAAAAACAAACATATACAAGATAACACCTGAAAATTTGGCATATTGCCATTGTTTCTGTCATATTAAAATTCTAATACGCATCCTCGTGATCTTGAGCAACAAAAAATCTTTACCTGCACGCTTCTCAAATATTCAGTAACTACAAAAGATGAAAGGTCATGCAACGTTACAATCTGTCTATAGGTAGAAGAATATCTCTAAAACTCTTTGGATGATAGGTATGAATCAACTTTACATGTCTGACTTTGTCGGAGAATTTTCATCATTATCGTTGCCATCAATTTTATCATTATCATCATCATTTTTAGATAGGAATGAATAGAACACAGGATTAGCACGTACACATGCTATAAAATTAGTTATTATTTCTCTTCCTATCATTGGTATATCACTGTCATCCTTAACGTTCCTATGTTTCGCTACAAATGACCGAAATTCACGGAATTCTAGGTTACACGGCCCTACTACGTCCTTTTCGATACACGTGCAACCCCAGTTTATTTCTCCATTCGGTAACACTGGCACTGTAAAAAAGATATATGATGCAATTAACTGGTTATTTGAACACTACTTTAAACACTTCAATGCCATAAATGGATGACATGATCACATCCTTTTCAAAAGACACTCAAATTGTGATAGTTTTACTAGTATATATTTCTTTAATTATGTCACATACCTTACATTTTTACTCGGACCAATCAAATTCAATGATGTACTAACTGTGTTTAAAAAGCACTATGCCAATGATGCAAATGATTTGTTTCAGTGAAAGTAATAAGCCTGGTAGTACAGTGTACATGCAGTTTCCCCTAAAATTCAGATAATTAACACAAAAAAATTCTTCCCTTTTTGCACAATACCATGTGATTTTCCCAAAAATTTAAGTGAAAGGCCCCATCTTCAACGTGTGAAAAATCCTGGCTATAATCAAAAGAGTAAGTATATCTGTGGAAATGTTTTTCTCGTCAACCAGATGAAAATTTCTGTAAAAGTACTAAAAATAACTGGAAATGCTTATCTTCTTCTGGTTGAGCACAGTCTTACTCCCTACAAAGCTGCTCTCCAATTGGTTTAGCTTTTTCCAATTGTATATATTAAAGATATACTTTGCTCAAATTTGATACCATAACTATTGATAAATACTACACAGTCTCTTTTTAAATTTAATATAAACATGTTTTGCCTACACACAAATAAGAGATCTGAGCCATGTCATGACAAAACCAACATAATGCGTTTGCGACCAGCATGGATTCAGTCCAGCCTACGCATCCACGCAGTCTGATCAGGATCAATGCTGTTCGCTTACATACTCTATAACAAGTAGAGAAACTGATAGCGAACAGCATGGATCCTGATCAGACTACGCGGATGCGTAGGCTGGTCTGGATCCATGCTGGTCACAAACCCATTATGTTGGTCTTGTCGTGACACGGCTCATTTTATGTTTATAACTACACATTTAGGTGGTCACAATATGAATATAAATATAGTGTCATTTAAAAAACTGGCAGTTTTTTCAAGAAACAACCATTTTTACTTGACCTGTAATAGGGAACACAGCTTCCCATACATAATTAACTCACTCTTTTCGTCAATTAGACATATTCAGTAAGAATTTCATAGATTTCAATAAATTTCTGCGATTAAAATATTTTATGCTAAATCAAATGCAATGATAAATTTTATTAATCTTATTTTTTTGCTTTGTCTTTACATAATAGGGAATAAGAAAATCATGTAATTACTCACATCTATTTTCTTCCACCTCTACTTTTGGTATCATCACTTTACTAGGTATACTGTTTTCTTCTTTTGTTAAGAACACTACCTCATCTTTACCTGAAATTTTTATTGATATAACATTATGTAAGACATCAGTATTAGTTAAATTATGTTTTTATTTTAACTGGACAGTGAAGAATAAGCAGACCTTTATAATACACAGATATCTCACTCTTGAAGTTTGTTTAATGTTCATTTTCTTACAAAACTGAAAATTGAATGAGTCAATTCAAGCAAAAATGGTATTTGTGCGGCAGGAAGTGATGTCACACTAATGATGTTAACGAGTGAATTCACTGAATTGATATCCCCTGTTTAAGTAAATAGCAACTACATTGTACTTGTAGTATGCACTGTATTGCTTCTCAATGGCATTTCTGCATTCTATGAAGTTGATAACTTTAATACTGTTCAAATGACATGAAAGTAATAAAATATTCAACAAAAATGTTATCAAGTCAAAAATGAAGAGTTACTGTTCCTGTGCACTGTATCTCTGTTTCATGAAATTTTAATGTTTATACCTAAAATACATTTAGAATTATGTCTTTAACAGGAAATAATAAATTTCCAATGTTATCTTAAATTTGCTGTATCATATGATAATTTGTAAACATTACAGCCCCCTTAATTAGAAATCAACTTGGCACTATAATGTAAAGCACTATTGTTTAGTGAATAGATTCAACAAAATGGTATTTTTAACCAAAATGAAAAAAAATATTTTGGTGTGAAAAAAAATATTTTGGTGCTAAATTTCATACATATCAATAATCATTGTCATCACCTTAGTGCAGTAATGAATTAACTCCTTATAATTTATATAAGAAATTAACCAGTAACTGCCCTATAGTGACAATACAAAATTTATATAATACCTTTTTCTTAATAAAAGTTGTCATCCATTTAAACTACATGTATTTGCTTGTTCACAAGTCATTAAAATGTAATGATTAACATTATAAAAAGAGATTTTTCAATGTGCCTCATCAAAATACTGGATATTGAATGAGTGTAGGTTAAATACAATGTACTGATTTTATTGAACGATTTGAATAAAATCATATCATGCGAGTCTCAACAAGTTCAATTAATTTAGTATTGAATCTACACGAATATAATACTCACATATTCATACAGACAACGGTTTACAGTTAAAACGAGTAATTGTTTTATTGAAGCGCCTTTATTGTAAAGCTAACGTTAGGGCGCTTTAATGCTATGTATATATATAGCGCAAATGCTGTCACGTCAAAGTGTTATTACACTAGTGTAATTTCGTTTTTATCAAATGGCTTTATTACACTCTTGCACTGCGGTTAACATTAAAATATTACATGTACATCTAGAAAATTTACACACCAAACTTCCTATGATTTGCTTCTCTTTCCTTTTTTCTTCTTTCCTCCTCTTCTTTCTCTTTTTCTTTATTCTTCCTTATTTGTTCTTTTTCTTCGTCCAACATTGTGTCGGCATAGTAGACAGGATGATCCATTGTACAAACTATATAGTCTTCCAGCAAGTTGTCAAAATTTCCTCTCAGCACTGCATCAAGATTGTCAATGTCATCATTAAAATCATTCACATGGATAAATTGTCTGACTTTACGAAACTCTTCGTTACAAGGTCCTATTACATCCTTCTCAATACACGCACAGGCCCAGTTCACATCTCCATTCTTCAAGACCGGATCTTAAACAAAAAACAAGCCGTTTAAAATGTAACAAGAGCTGTCAGTAGGACAGCAACACTCAACTATTCTTAGTGCTTGATAGTAAAAAAAGCCTTAAAAATGTAAAATTTCCTAAATTAACAAAAGGGCAAAATTTTCCTTAAATCCATGTTACAGTTATAGGCCTTGAAGAGAGTCCTATTATGCTGTCAAAGAAGAGTATAAAATTTCAACTTGTTTCAAAGCCAGATGTCAATAGAATCTGAATATGAAAATATCTGAGGTGGTATACAAACTTTAATGTAAATTCTAAGTTGAAAAAGGGGCATTATTCTGCCAAATGCTTTATACAGTTACCTTCTCCTGTCTACAGGATGGGGTCATGATGTTGAACAAGTGTGCTAAGTATCAAAGCCATATGTCAATGGACTTTGAAAATATTTGAGGCATTACAAAAACTTTAACACAAGTGGTTACACCGACGCTGACCCTCAGGCGTCTACAATAGCTCTACTTATTGTTATCGAATAGTTGAGTTAAAAACCTTCTGGTCAAATCCATACAATTTGTTTATCTAGTTTTGTAATATTTCATTGTAGTTAACATGTGATTATGTACATGATATATAAGCATGTATATATGGTGAATAAAGGCTGGGGGCATCCGTGGCCGAGTGGTTAAGCTCGTTGACTTCAAACCACTTGCCCCTCACTGCTGTGGGTTCAAATCCCTACAGGGACTTTTGATTCTTTCATGTGAGGAAGCTATCCAGCTAGCTTACGGAACGTCGGTGGTTCTACTCAGGTGCCCGTTGGTGCCTGAAATAATGCACAGAAGGGCACCTGAGGTCTTCCTCCACCAGTAAAGCTGGAATGTCGCGATATGACCTATACTGTGTCGATATGAGGTAAAACCCAAAACAAACAAACAAAAAAGAATAAAGGCTGTTTCCCCTAGCCCAAAATAGGTATATTTTCCCTTAGAAATGCAAATACTTTCCCCTGTTCACCAGAACCATGGCATCTGACTTATATCAGCTAGTTGATAAATTTAATTGACTTTGTCCCTGTTATGTACCATGTATGTTAAATTGAAATGTTATAAAATGTGTGGGTAAATTCCGTTCTCAGTTGTCAGAATTTGATTTAAGATTTCCCCCCTTTTCTATAAATCATGCTATATTTCCCCCTTCAGAAAGCCACAAGTTGTTTTGAAAACTGAAAAAGATCACTGGTATTATGACTATTGTCTTTGGTAAATATAGCTACCCAAGAATAATTTAATAATATCCTGAATGTCTAATAACATTTTTCTCATTTGACCTCACTGTAGTGAACGTGTTACAGTATAGACTTTTCAAGATGGAGGATTATTTCTGGAAAGAGAGGTAGGTGATTTTTATTCAGGTTCATACTACAAATAGTTTAGTTTCTAAAAGATGTTTTTGTGCTTTGCATGTAAGGAACAGAATCCGGTATCTAGTCATATATTTCTTCAGACCTTGCACCGCAGATTAATCTCTATATTGTTTCATAAATATGCAGATTTGACAAATTGAAAATTTAAATCGAGACACCAACGCATTTTTCTCCCATTCCGACATTATTTATGCATGCCTAGAAAAACTAAATCTGCAAAACGTTAGTCCTTTATGTTAGGAAATGTTTATAAAAGTAAATGTAAAATGGAAATTGGAAAAGTCCATTTAAGACATTATAAGGGTTAAGACTGTTCATAGAAAACTTAGAAATTATATACCTCTATTTTCTTCTATTTCCTGCATAATAATTTTTGCTTTTGTTGGCACTGCATTATCTTCTTTACTCAGAAAGAATATTTCATCTGTCAAAGAGAAAAGAAGCATTAAAAAGTTATAAATACAGTTTATAACAAGACGTAACTACTTCCAGCTCTATCGCAAGAAAGGTTATTATTACGTTCATTTTATCTTTAGTGCATAGCTTGGTACCTAGTGTGTCAGAAGCTTTCGCATTCCTAGAATGTGTTTACATATTCTTAATGTAGGACTTTACTGATACCTTATATGTCTGATAGGTAGCACATTTTGTCAGTTTGTCTCCTTTTAGTTAATATTCAACTGACATCACAATGTCACTGTGAAATACGACTAGTCGCAAAAAGATAGTGATTTCATTTTATCTACTGCAATAATATTCTGATTAATTTGTTTATCAAACCTCTCTTTTCATTTCATGTAATTTTTGAAAGTCCAATTTAGCAGTATAAAATATTATTGATTTTTATTATCAAATCTAGTTATTCTATTTTAACTAGCTAATTAGACTTCTGTCTTCAGGGAATAGGTTCAATAATGATTATGCAAACTTGTGTTTCTAAATGAAGATTATATTGAATATGATAAAAAATTAAACAACTATAGTAGATATATTAATTTTTGGCATTTAATGAAGTTTTTTTCCTCTAAAATTTATCACAGACATTGATAATTAAAATCTGTGCAAAAATATGAAGAGAAAAAAACTGAAACATTATTAGATCATTTCTATTGACAATATAGATGTTATACATTTGTAATATAAAAATTTAAAATCTTGATCACTTAAAGTGGACATTGAAAACTTCTTAAATGATGACTCACAGCTGTTATTCATGATTGCATAAGCATGCTATCAGTTCAATCACAGACTTAAATTGACTTGACATTTAAGTACATGCTTAGAGTGATTGTTAACAATCTCAAAGCAGTATGATGTAGAAGTAAAAGCATGTGGGTCAATTTCCATGGGTAGATTATCACAAAAGTTTTTAATAATTTTAACTTGTAAACAGGGTCTTTCAAATAGAATTCTATTTGAAAGACCCTGTTGTAAATAACACAAAATTTACATCCGCTTAAAGTTATCCTAGACCACCTGGTCTAATCAATTAATCAAAGTAGGACAAAGGTGAATTTATTTCTGATAGATCTATCCGATATCTTGACATAAAATAAATGGCTACATATCATCCTTAAAATTATTTAGAAAAAAAATATGATTCTTTATGAAAATGTAATTTAAGACGTGCAAGTGGTTTTTTTTTACTGACTTCATCACTGCATTCATTTGTTACAGAAAAAATGCCATACATGTATGGCTATCCTCAACAGTGTGTATAGGTTAGATGTAGTTGACTCACAAACGGCTAGCACTTTTGGCTAGCAGTACGGGCACGTACGGCTAGCCACTTCCTGACTAAAAAGGGGTCGAGTTGACCGCGGGACGAGTCGACCAAGTGCAATCCCAAGGGCGTCAAGATCTTGTTATAAAAACTCTAGACAAGATGGTAATACACAAAAACCTAAACATTACAGATTGCATGGAAATAAATAGAACAGGGGAATATGTAGAATGTGGAACTAAATTTTCGGCCACAATTTTTCCAAATTTTAACCTTTCCCTATCTTTTTTCTCCTTGACTTGTCCGCATTGGTCACTGTTGCTGTGACAGCTGCTGCTGACAAAAGCTGTACACCGCCTTTCAATGACCTCAACTTCTTAACAAACTTCCAACCTGCAGACATTGCTAGAAATGTTAAAATATCTTATTTTAGCCGCATGCGGATGAAATATCCGAAATATGTTCTACTACGAATCTATAAAATCCGTCTTTACCGTACTCATACAGTATATTGACTAGGTTGTACACTACTAATTATTTTACGTACACTAAAGGCTATGAAACATGAAATTGGGATATCTGAACGGAAGTGAAACATTTTAACGAGTTTTACAAATAATAAAGGCCGATGATTTGCTCAATCTAGTGCTGACACCCTTCTTAGAAATAGGGCATGCATAGGCTTTGGTTAACCGACAAGAATGAATGCAAAAGATAAATGGTTTAAAGACATCTCATTTCTGCTGACAAAGCTGAGGTATCAAAATACATTCTGTGAAGGACAAGACGAGCAATTGAAAACAAATAAAAACAAATGAATGACTGATTACCCATTACACATGTTGATAATCAATCATGCTCTTGATGTGAACATAAGATATTGCTTACAATTAATGTAATATATTGTTAATTGTGCCCATCTTAATTATTTCACTTTGTATATACCTTTTGTTATAAACTAATTTCAAAGTGTTTTGCACCTATAGTTATGATGTAACAACCTTGTGTGAATATACACATTACTGAACTTTATAGCTGTTGTTGAAATTGATTCTAAAATAAATCACAGAATCTACTTGAATAACGCCGAAACCACTCCTATAACATATTAATAAACAAGCAATATCAAAGCAAGGCTATTATATTTTATTTTTGCCGTGTGGGCCAAACTTTAAAATCGCAATTTTAGACTACCAGTTTCTATATGTACTTGGGATACATGTAGTTAAAATACCATGGGAAATACTGACTAGAACTGCTTATTTAAAATGCAGGCCATGCCAAATGCAACATTTCGCATGCCCTCTGGCACCAGATTGAGCGGTATTCAATATTCATCACTAAATTTGCTGTAATCAATTATCCCAATGTAGAAGAACACTTAAGTAAAGTACTGGGCAATTTGTGAAAGATGTTATACGGCGCTAGACACCTGCTGTCGTTTAAAAGTTTGCTAAGTTTGGAAAAGGTGAGCTTTCTTGGAAGCTATGAATACATCAAAATCATATGACAATTGAAGACTATTTGGTATTGAGTCTATTTATGAGAACTTTGTTAAAAATTTTGTTGTGTTTTGTTGCTGTTGTTGGTATTATTTTTTCGTTTGTTATTATTTGTGTTTTTCTTGTGTTGTTCTTATTCAAATTTACAGGGCAGCGACCAAACTATTTAAATACATATTTAAATACATGAGACATGTTTTCGAACGCTTATTTGATATGTGTACGTGATTTCATACATGTAACTCTTCTGTCTTTCCCTAAAGGTATTTTTGTTTGGTTTATTCCTTATGTTTTTATGAGCATTCTTTTTCTTCATTTATTCTTCCTGTGAAAACGTATTCAAACTTTAGAGTTTCATTAAGCAGAGAATCATTTCATTTACAGTGTGGTTTGTAAGAAACATGGTGTTAATAAGAGTGTTTTATATTTTGAAGCTTTTAGACCTCAGTAAGTGGAGCTTCTTTAAGTGTTTTGCAGGTCGTTAAAAGTCCCCCCTTACATATAATCAAAGATGATATATTTTCGGCCCTTGAAGGTCATTCAGTGCGACATTTTTGTTGTGTGTGCGTGTTTATGGTGCTTTTAGTTTCTTCCATTTGATCTATTTTCTTGGTGGAAAGTTACAATATTTTAATTGAATATTGTTGAATCACCCTTAGGATATGTTGCTTACTTTTTAGATTTGTCTTTTGAAGTTTTATCTATCATATGCAGGCTTCATAACGTCTGATCTCACTTTCAAAATTCCATTTAATTCAGTTCCGCCAATTGTTTTCTCGTTTAGGGAGCACGCATTCTTTTACTTGTGGACCATACGCCGCTTTTCATGGAATGAAACGAAAGTGTCACATTGAAGGTTCCATGATAACCGTTGTATGAACACATCTGCGGATGTTTCTAATTCAAAGTTTCACCAAATTCATGTTTAAATGTCGAATAATTCTTAAGCCTGTGCTACAGGGGGTCGTGGACGGTAACTTGCATTTTTCAGTACCGTTCATGAACAGGCTCGATCAATCTGAGACTGTAACATAATCAACTTTGTCGTTTAGGGCATTCTTTACAGGGTATGTTAGGGAATCTTTTTCTCTCTATTTGATTGTCCTAATTGTGTTGTAAATTTCTAATTATTAATTAATAAGATTCAAGTGGGGACGTGTATTCTGGAAACGTTGCTCACCCTTGTTTATCTTTAAATTTGATTTGTTTCGTTTTATATTTTCTACATGCAAAATATATGGCCTTTCAAAATACATTTACTTTTCTTCTCGTAACTTTTCACCAAAGACCTTATGACAATGACTGTTTACACACAGTGATTTACCAAGAATATCAAGATTTGTAATATGTATTACTATATACATGTAGTATGAGGGAATCTCATAGTGAAATACAAATTAAAATAAAATCTTTTTTAAACAATTTATAAACCCTAAAATCCATATTTTCCAACACATTTTATTTCACGTAGCATTGTGCCGAAACCTCACAAATTAGTTTCCCTTTGATTTGCTGAAACCATTGTCCTACTCATGACCTAGCCGACCAATCTTGTGACACTCATGCTCATGTCCATTCCCGTCAAACCATACCGCTTTACATCCTCGGCAATAGTCAGCCCTGAAAGAAATTAAGAGATTTACTTTATACTGTAATGTATATTACCTCTATGTAATTGTTCATCAGTTCTCATGGTTCACATCTCATAAGTTCTCATAAGTTGCCCTGCAGTTCGTCTTAGGTTTTTATGTGTTTTTTTGTGTGTGTGATCCTTCGGTGCTGGGGCTTGCATACCGCTTATGCCGGTATACTATTTGGTGAGATGAGGGATTTTGCACCTTTTATTATCTGTAATAAACAGACTCCATCAACCCAGGTCTACAGTTTGACAATTTCAGTTTACACTATGATGATTGTTTTATTGTTCTCTGGGGATATTCTCTTTCTGCAGATTTTTTTATACAAATTACTTAGCCTTGAATAATTGTATATTTCTCACAACGATATATAGTTTGAATGTTTTTTTTCTCATACATTTGTTTTCTTTTCCACGTTTTAATTTGTTTGTTTTAAAAATGTATCTTCATTAATGAACAGATGTGTATGAAAGCAAAGGGGACACAACTGTAATTATGTAAGTTTGTGACACTACATACCTGCAAGTCAAAGGTCTGTCCTCGCACATAATCCCCATGCATGGGTCAACAAGACACATGTACGGTCGTGAACAAGGTGTCTCTTCAGCTACATAAAAACATGTATACAAAGCTTAGATTTTATGCAAAAGCATAGATACTATAAAGTACAAACCTAAACTAGCTAAATTAGACTCCCCTTCCACCGCCCCAACAAATTAAATAAATAAAATTAAATGGAAATGTTACAGAGTAAATGTGATTCAGCATGTTGATGGGCCGATGTTGTTTACACAAAGTGTGATGTTTATCTATTCTGAATACCTAACATTTGAAGTTAAGATATTTATTTTCTAATCCATTGATGGGACTATTTGTCATCAAAATCAGAACGTATTATTACCTAGAATTTGATAAGGACATTTTGACACATGTAAATATTTTACAATATCTGACCGCGTATTCTGTTTGAAGCCAAATGCTGTCAGGCTAAGAATTGCATGAGTACGGTGTAATTGCTAGAGAAAAAAAAACGAATAAAAATTCATTTGTACGTTTTAAAATATAGTTTCAATTTGTATCCTTAGAAATTGTACTTTTCATGTTAGCTAAATTGATCAAGTTTATGAAAAACATGATACATGTCGAAAAATAACAAATTTTATTTCTGTATTAAACGTCACTTTATGAATGGTAAAGGTATTCCCATTTCTAAAAGGGTTCAAGCAAAATCATCGACAGAAACACTAAACGATTGTTTTTGTTCACAAATAGAATAATATAATTATGTAAATATACTCAGCTAATAGTTAAATCTGGAAACCCTTATACTTACATAGCACTGTGTTGACAAGTACAACAAATGGCAGTACCGTGGCAATTCTGATATCCATTATCGTAACACAAATATCTAATATATAAAACGGAGTTTTAAAACACTCATGTTCTTAATGTTTAGTTATATCTGAATTTTACCATGAATGTGGGGAGAAAAATCTAAAAGCTACAGCAGTAAGACTAATTATATACTAATTATAAATTATGCCTTATTATAACGTCAGCTCTGGCGGTTTGCAAATGTCATTCTATAAACTTATGTATAAGATAATTGTAGGGAAATTGACAGGAAATAAACAACTATATTGCCTAATATTTATAAACTGGAAACGTTCTGTAAAAGTATTTCTGATTATATGATTCATTAAAACTGTTAGTAATTTTATCGAAATGTCTTTCAAAAATTTTCATTCGGTGTGTTCAATATGCGTATTCTTAATAAAAACCGTTCGAGGTAAATTGTCAATCAGTGGTACAATGATAATTTATGTTACCAATGGTCTTTTAGTATTGGTATCATTGGGAATACTCTTAACGAAGTCACTATTGGTTCATTTGCAACTATAAGTAGCAACTGAGAACCAATAGTATCAATGGATTGTCACCGCCAGACATCAACTAAAAACCTGCTGACTGACACAATTTTGTAATATTTAACGTACTTTCAATAGGTATGAAAATGAGGAAAAGCAGTTTCAATATCCGAGCCATTTAAAAATCAGAACAATGACAGGATGGAAGTTTAAATTTAGAAATATTCTCCATTTTTTTCTTACAGATTTAATATTCAATGTACTTCCCTATTTAACAGACTGGACAGTGGAGTGCATTACTGTGTGATAGATGTATTGCATAAGCATAAGAAAAAGGATTGCTTACACTTGATACAACATCAGATATGACGTCATGAGCTTAATGGCGTTACGTTAATAACTTGCCCGTTAAATGTTGTTCAACGTGGTGTTTTTTTTTATCATTTCTCTTTCTAATAGAAAGTGATATCAATATCCCTGGTGTTTTAGAACAATATTGCATGGTTTATCGTTCAAATATATATATCTATGAGAGTTACCTATCTATATGTACGTCTGTTTGTCTGCCCGTCTATCTTACTGTCCATTCATCCATCCATCTATTGGCAAAATACAGAAATACTCCAGTACAAGAATTACGTAAAATATGAAAAATTTACAGGAAAAATAAATAATACACCTGAATAATAATCATTGAAACAAAAGAAAATAAGTTGATAAAAAAGTATAATATACATATACATGTATATATTTATTAAACATTAATTTACCCTTCAGTATAAAATTCTAATAGACCTAAAATGTTTTCTTACTAAACGTCATCATCATTGACAGTTCTCTTCAGTAATAGTTCTTATTTCATCCCGGAGCACATAACTCTTACAGGCATACATATTCAGCACTAGTATTTGCACTAGTTAACTCCCTTGCATTATTGTTCCATTTTAGTAACTATAAGCATTTATTAAATTGATCGTTCATTCCCATTTTATTACAGAAACAGAAATGTTATTTGCAAATATTTCTTATGACTGTGCATGTATTTCATATTATGGTTATAAAGTTTTTGGTATAATATAATGAGTAAAAGCAATCCAATGTAAAATTGTCCTGGGGAAGAATGAATATTTGTAATAGTCGGTAGTTGTTTCAATTTAGCATGATATCCTCGACAAATTACAACATGGCTTCAGGTCAAAAGATAGCTGTGAAACCCAGCTTATCAGTTTCACCCTGGAAGTTTATGACAATTTAGAGCAAGGCCAACAGACCGATGTCATGTAATGGCCTTCATCAAAGCATTTGATAAAGTCGGCCATCACAAGCATCTCCTTAAACTACACAGACCAGGTGTTAGCCGGTGCTAGGGGCGTAAGGGATGTTGCACTTATTCATTATCCCTAATGTACAGACTCAATCAAACCGAGTCTGCAATTCTAATGTAATTTTGTTGTGATTAATGCTTCCGAGGGATCACTTTGTTTCCAGAATTTTGACCATCAACAACAATATGTTGGGTGCGACCATCTAAAAACTTTGACAGTCTATCTGTTCTCTCTGGTGTCCCTCAAGGTTCGGTCCTGGGGCCTTGCCTTTTCTTGCCTTATATAAATAATCTCCTCCCTGACAGTGTATATGGCAATATTAGAATATTTGCAGACGACACAATAGTATATCTTACAATTAAATCAACCTAAGATGTCCAAACCCTCCAAAAAGATCTCAACAGTCTTCAAAACTGGGAATATGATTGGTCCATGGAATTTTATCCAGATAAATGTGAAGTCCTTAGTATCAGCCGCAAGAAACATCCAGTAACATTCCCTCAAAATTTACATGGTCAAAAACTAAAATCCACTGAGGCTGCAAAATATTTAGGTGTAACATTTAGTAAAGATCTATCTTGGACCAATCATATAAATGACATAACAGCAAAAGCAAATAACTCACTCAGATTTAAAAAAGGAACTGTCTACAAAACTTATTTAAGCCCCCAGTTAGAGTACTGTTCCATGGTTTGGCATCCTTGGCAAAAATATCTGGTTTACAAAAATAGAACAAGTTCAAAGGTCAGCTGCCAGATATGTATACAATGACTACAATTACACCAGTGGTGTATCTAAAATGTTAAGTGGTCTAAATTGCAACAGAGCAGTTCTGTTACACCCTACTCTACAAAATCCAACACAATCTTGTGAGGGTCGACCATCACCATCTGACACCCACTAGAAACCTGAACCACCTAATACCACCAAGGATACAATATCACTCCTATTCATTTTCCCCCAGAAGTATATATATATATTCCTCTGTGGATTGGCCTACCAGTGTCCTTACAAGCTAGTCCCAATTTAAATCTCTTTACTGGGCAGCTGCATCCTTTATACCAGTTTTAAGTCAGTTTTGTTTTTATCTTTTATCTCAGTCTTGTAGTTTTCTTTTAACTCGTTTTTTATCCTACATCTATAAATTTGCACTTAACACGTTTGAAGTGTAATCGTTAACATTTTAAAAGCAGTATAATGTAGATGTAGATTCTTTTGAAAGCAAGGGAATGAGATAGTCTGGAATGGGAAATGGCAACCTTAATACTTATATTCATAATTGCAAAAATTTTGTTTTGAAGCATAAATAATAAGGGAATTACTCCCTTCATATCATAGTAATGCAGCTTATAAAACGTTTTTCATGGTTAACTATATCAAACGCTTTGGAAAAGTTAAGAAAACTGTGGTCAACTTAACTTTTTTGATAGACACATTGCAAGATGGCATCAACTGTATACCAACCTGGGACTTTATCCCAGTACTAACATAAGAAGTTGAGTATAACACGAACTCTTTTTTCTTCGGAAACCCATACAGCATTTTATAGAACATATTGTTGGTTTGCTTATATTGCAGGAGACAAAATGACTTATTGCTATCTTGCACAATATTATCAATGTATGAAATATTTCCCCTCAAACTCCTCACAGCGGTTACGTCACGCTTTGCTACTTTAACCACTGCCACCACTGAAATCACGTGACGATAGTTGTATCATGTGACAAAAACATGGCGGCCAGTTTCAGAACGCCAAGGACCCCATATCAAACTGGCAGATTTATAATTACATTCTTACCAGAAAAATATGTTCAAAACACACAATTTGTTTAAACTTTAAAACAAGTGCCAGGTCAAATCTTTTACGCTATCGTTCAATAAATGTCTAAATTTTGCCATTGTTTACTATACATACGGTGTCACAGTGAAAATATATTTCGTTATGTTTACAAAATAATTTTTATGCATATATTTTTTTACATTCTTGTACATTAAGCAGGGCTCACACTGGCTCAAATAAAATAATAGCCAATATTTTTAACTTAAAAAAATAATAGCCAAAAGTTCAGCGGACTATTGACGATTTAGCGACTAACAGCATAAGCAGTTGATTAAATGAACATTACATATACAACTTTTTCAGTTTTATAAGGATTCTCAAATAAACTGATACATTTGTGTATATTGATATCTACATTGTACCTTTTTTACATTAGAACCACAACTTGAATTGTTATTGTAGAACAGAATAAAAATGCAATATGTATAATTACTGTATGACAATAATATTAAAGATTCATTATAACTTTACATAATGCTGTTATCAGACAATATCTTTTGTTTGTTCTTATCAAATTTTGTCAGCTCTAATCACTGTCAATTTCCACATTTCACACAGAACTGGAGTAGATCCAGGTCATATTAGCCTATAGAAATAACTCTTGCAAACTCATTCACAGAATGCAGCCTTTTTTTCTGAATAACTTACTGAAAAATGTCATCATCACCAATGTAATACTAATTTTCTGTCATAATAGTAAAGATTTTTAAACAGAACATAGCTTATTTCACCTTTAAATAAATATCAAAATTATCGGTGTCGCGAAAATATGTGACAATCGGATTTTTCCCGTTTTCTGAAGAAATATTCACAATTTTGGTTGTTGTGCAAATAGTTGTTTGGAAGTTAATACTTTTTAAACATTTTACCATTGTTTTTCACTGGCGATTTTGTCAAGCAGCTTGAAACAAAAAAAATCAAAATTTGCAATTACTGGAATTTACGGTAAATTTTGGGTTGGTCAATATCAAGTTAATCAATTTTAAAACGATTTTTATGGCTAATTGACGGATATTTCATTGCAATTATAATGCTGGACAATATCTTTAGAGTACATATACAATTTTATATCTCGCATGTATTTTTATCACCTCGGGCAATACAGTTAGCAGCACGTATGTGACCGTCACCAATAAAAAGTTGACACTCAATTAAATACACCCCTCTGGCGTTATTTGGGTCTTATGCATTCTTTATCGATTTTTACACCTCATATAAACACTGTTGGAGTTAAAAAATAGTCGCCAGATTTTGTAGCCAAAATGCAAAAATAATCGCCAATCTTATAAAATAATCGCAAATGGCGACTATGGCGACTGACAGCGCGAGCCCTGCATTAAGCATAACTATTTAACGAAAGAAAACTAAAATGATATAAAGTATTCTATTTTAGAATTAAAAGTGAAAAAAATATATCCGGCTATATTCGACCGAATTTACTTGTGGTGGCAGTGGTTACTGTACTGATCATGGGAAGTAACCGCTGCGAGGAGTTTGATTTCCCCTAAACAGTGAAGAGAAATATTTAGTGGCGTTCAATCTTGAAAATTTACGGAAATGGCCGAAAAGTTGCGATTGACTACAAACTCGGATTTAGTGTTCGTCCATTCGCCCTTTACCTGCAAGTGAGAAAACATGACGGATTATCATCGCCCAGATTCTAAAACAATGCAGTCCCTGAGGGACATGGCAAATCAGCTGAGAATTGATAGTATTAATGCCACACAGGCAAGCAATTCAGGGTAAGTGTCATGTAATACTTTTCGAGAAATTGCACGCCGAATTTTATCTTAAAATTTGCGCTGATGTAAAAATCTCCACGTTAAAATGATCCCAAATAAAATAAAATCTTAAGGTATCTCAGTTTATTTCTATTTAACCAAAATGATGCACAAATCAATTTGATACTCATAATTGTTTATAAAAATATATTCAATTTAAATCAACAAATTTACGCATTTTGTATGTAAAACGTAATGAAATTATACTTTGAATAAGTAAAATGCTTAGAAAAATAATCTAGAGGACATGTACTGATACTCCAGAGCTATCTAGACTGACTACAAATTAATATGAAAAAGGCAAAGCCTTAAAGCGAGCTCAATTTCCTTTTACCGTAAGATAGTTTAAAACAATCATTCATTTTTATTTTACATTTTCCGTTTTAAAATTGTCATTCGATATTTTATATACTGCTTCCGTTTATTCTGGTTCCTCCTTTCTATTATGGTTCCTCCTTTCTATTAAGGTTCCTATATAAGTGCGCAGGACACTAGGCTACGCTTCCGTTTTCAATCAGAGTACATCGGCTTTCATCCTTATCTTGTAATTCGAAAAGTTGTGATGTGTCCAATTTGGTTCTTCAGACGAAAGTTTTCAAAACCATCACTTAGCAGGTACTTGCGTTACCGTAAAGCTTGCTGTGCGAGCAGGCCCAACGGGCCAGCTCGTCAAGCTCGCTAAAAAGGTTACAAGTTAAAAAGGTTTCCAGGGGGGTTAAAAAAATTTAAAGATATTTGATTAATACTCTCACCTCATATTTCAAAGTTACCCATAATTCCGAGTTATTTACCGATTGACACTTTCTGAGCTAGCAGACGGCAGGATATTTTTATCAGTGGAATTGCAAGTAAAGATAACCGTTTGCTTATCTCAAAGTATAAATCGTAATGTAAAATGGTCTGAATTGTGGTAGTTTTAACTGTAAATTTAAATACCTTTAGTGCCAAATGATGTGTTGAAATATATACCGAGACCAAGCTAAAAACACAAGCTTTTCATTCATAATTGGTGTAATAAATTTTAAAACAAGACATTTAGTCACCCCAAACTAGCGGTTAAAAAATGGCTAAATTTTTATTGTTTTAGCATTAGAGATATCGATTACACTCGAAGATAAGGGAAACAACTCCTATGTTTTCACTCGATATATGTCGGTTATTTTTGTACTTCATATAGAGACTGTCAATGGGTGTATTAATACATTTACACTTTCACCTGGACATATTCCTGAAGTGTACACAATTTGATAAACAAATTAATCGCGACGGACCTTTCACATCTGGGCTGTTTATGTAATTTATGCGGCCGTTTATTGAGTGAACTAGTTGTCAGATATTTTTATCTTTAGTTGGTGCCAGTAAAATTAGCCAATTAAAGATTTTATGTGCCAGAATTAATATATAGTCACATTTGACCCCATTGGGGAGCGACAGCTGGAACCATGCGTGACCCTCCTTACCTCAAAAATTACTTGCATACCAATACCCTGAGGGCAGGAATAAATGTAAGGCACTTGTAAGAAAAATCATGTTAAAAGAAGTTAATTGCTTTGATTGAATGATAAGGTTATAGATAAAAGAGTGTAAAGTTAAAAGATGAAAACATACTACTAGAAAATCTATCTTTATTTTAAGGACGTTTTCGGAAATTTTCATATACACATAACGGCAAAATTTAAACTGTTTAATATTATTTCTTTAAATTTGGTATGTTGTTAGAATATGATAACAGAAACATTTTAAGAGGAAAAATGATTGGGGTCACCATTCTCATTTTGTAAAGATAGCAGTCTCATTATTTTTTTATTAACAGGTACAAATGTATTTCACAAACTGATTCCTGTATAATATGTCTGTATTGTGTGAACTGTATTGTCTTGTATATTGTTTGGCAATACATAGCTCTACTAATTATCCAAACCTTTGCTTGTCCCATATGCTGGCATTTTTGGCCATTCTAAGTGCTTTCATTTAGAGTTGAAAATATCACCTACAATTTCGCTGTTAAAACAGGACCGCATGATTATTTAATTATTGACCCTGCAGTTTAGGAAAAGTTGGAAAATAAAAAATTGGCTTATTTCCCATGGCCATGATATCCCAAATATTGGGCTAACAATTGATTGTTGCGCTATGACTCAGAATTAAAATGATTTGAAATGGCATAATGCTATTTAATATCACATAAACTGTGGCGCAGAAGTGTAATAAAGCCATTTAATAAAACAATATTACACTAGTGTAATAACACTTTGACTCCTCGACCCCTATTGTCATGATGTCATTTGCGTTATATATATAAAAACATAGCGTTTACGGTTTAAGGGCGCTAATGTTAGTGTTACATTATAGACGCATCATTGAAAAATGCCTCTTTAATAGTTTACCGTTATTATTTTATACATGTATATGTGATAAATAGAATATTTTATGTGTATGAATTGGATATTTATTCCATTGCAGACATCCAACATCATGTGCTTCAGCTGCTGAGATAATGTCTGTACTGTTCTTTAATGTAATGCGCTATAGTAAAGAATTCCCAAGAGACCCAAGAAGTGACAGATTTGTGATGTCTAAGGTAAGGCCATCCTTAAAAAAATGTTTGTTTGCAGTAACGCGACCGACTCACAAAATTTGCCCCTACTCAAAATTTTTTTTCATGGTCTGGATAAAAAAATTTTTTTTTGGAATCAGAAAATTGTGTCTTGTGCTTTGTTTTCGTTCTTTTAAAGGTTAATAGAAGAAATAAAATGTAGGTCTTATTAAATTAGAATTCAGTTATCAATTTATTAATTGTTACCAGATTATCAAAGCATATTTTGTCCAGCATTTTGAAATTCGATGTTTATTTGGGAGTACAGTTCAATAAAAAAAAAAAAATCGACCTACCTACCCACCTTGAAAATTCTGGGTCGGGTTACTGCAAACAAACATTTTTTTAAGGATGGCCTAACGTCATTTTTGTATCTCTGTCTGTGTAACAGTTTTAGTTTAAGGCCTTAAATAAAATGAGCAGTGTCATTACAAAACCAACATAGTGCATTTGCGACCACCAGCATGGATCCATACCAGTCTGGGCATCCCCATAGTCTGGTCAGGATCCATGCTGTTCGCTTACTAACTCTATAACAAGTAGAGGAACTGATAGCGAACAGCATGGATCCTGATCAGACTTTGTGGATGCGCAGGCTGATCTGGATCCATGCTGGTAGCAAACCCATTATGTTGGTTTTGTCATGGCACGGCTCAAATATTGTTTGTTTCCTCTCCCTCTACCTACCCACAAAAAATTACAGCAACTCACAAAATTTCATTGCTGAAGAAATTTTTTTAATTTTTTTACTAAACATGGGGCCAAAGAGAATCATATCTTTATATCTGTCTCAAGTTTTTTTAATTGTAAATGTACACACTGGGATATACAATAAATGTTGATTAAAACTAAAAATATACTTTTAATCTTTAAACAGATGCTAAATATTCCCAATTTATTTCAACTCCATATAATTTTGATAGAAAAAAAAACATTTTGGGATAGTAAAAAAATTTTTTATCAACCTACCTACCCAGAGTACCCAAACTGGCATGGGTTTGCGGGGGGAAACAAAGAATAATTTTTAACATGTGTTATATTTACCTTGCTCTGACAACAGAATTTTTGCAAAAAGAACAATAATGGGGATAGGTTTTTATTGGAGACAATTATTGATATTACTTTTCTGCAGTAAAAATCTTTGAACCAGTCTGTAAAGTGAAATGCTGATATAGCTTATTCTATATATCAACAATTTTGTCCGATTTCTTGATTAAATTTAGTATTGTAATTAGTATTGAAATAGTTCATATTCAGTATAATTGAAAGTGACCTTCCTGATAAATCTATAAATAGCCAGCTATTTTTATTGAAGTAGTTCAAACATAGTAGTATATAATGTAGAATTTTATTTAACTAATCTATCCTTTAATTTAATAGTGAAAGTTGGCACTTTTTTGAAAATTAAACACTTAAAGCTGGTTGAGAACGGAAAGTAATAAACTTTTGCCACCAGTATAGAGATAAGCCTTTCCTGCAGTCAAACCAGACTCTATAGTGTTGGCAGACTCAACTTTAGATTTACATCATTCTTGATTCCCCTGCCATAATTTAAAATGAACAGTTAGCAGGATATGTCTGATAAAAAATTTCAGCAGGATATAGCGTGAGGTTAACATTCCCAAATTGGTTAGCCGTTACTTATGACATAGCTATCATAAAGTGGCTGTAGACAAAAATGACTTTCTCAATTGCATTTGGGGCTGCCTGTAAACTTAGAAAACACTCTTTGTTAAATAATATAACGCCAAAAATGACCCCCATGTATATGTTAGTGTACTTGTTCATTCGTTTTCTGTTCTATAAAATTAGAAATATCGACGGAGCGATAGTCACTGGGAATGTTTTTAATTTTTGTAGAACATAATATATTTGTTGGTGAAATTACTATCACTTGTGTTTACTTTATTATGTCATTTATGCAAATGACTATTACGAATGTGGTTCTAATATTGAAGCACTATGAAAAATAGATGACGACTATGAAAGGAATTTGATATAGTATCGACTTTTGCTCTTCTATGAAAATTAACATTAAATAATTGTTAAGAAATACAGCATTTACATCGGTTGACAAATAAAGCTTGACACTAAAAGTTCATAATGGACTGTCTCAGAAATCCTGTAAAATGTATGAGTTCATGCAATCTGGATGATTTTGCCGCATTTTCTGTCCAGTTTTTAAAAAAGTTTAAACCCTTAAAACATCAAATTGGACATCTCCAAAACTATTTAACATGATTGTGTATCATAACAAACAGTACTAAGTAAATAAAGGTAGCTTTTATAACATACAACATGTAGGCACTTTGAAAAATTAAAAAAAGTTTATTAAACTATTATTTTCTACTCAAATCATGAAAAATACTTACAACTGTGGAATTTTAGCTGATTTTTTTCTATTCATTCTAAACGTAAAGTACGTTTTAAATAATTATGATCAGAGATTGAAGTAGGATTGAATTGACTTAACCCACTTTTATGCTGCTATAACTGTTTACATTTGAGAAGATGTTGACCCCTCGGGTAAGATTGTCACTGTTACTGAAAAGTGATATTAGGTGATATTGCCTCAGCTTTGTTTAAGAAGATTGATTTAAGCCTTGACAATTATTATTTATCTTGTAATTATTTTACTTCAATATGATTGTGTGTATTTTTAGAATGTCATTGATAGTTTGGTGCAAATATCATAAAGTAAAAACTCCAGTTAAACTGACTAAGATATATACAAAATACTTTTTAAATTAGTAAAATTGACAGACATTAAACCACTTGCCCCTCTGACCGCTGTGGGTTTGAATTATATAATTTTTTAGAGTCATATAAAAAGAATTTTCATAAAATTTATTTTTGTCAATACTTATGATGTTTGGATGATGTTTAAGGGTTTTGGGTTGTAGGGGGGGAAGGGGGGTATGGGTGAAAGGGTTTAAAAGGGCCCAAAGAAAGGGGTTTTCCCCCCTGTGTTTAAACTAAAATCGGTAAAAATTGTCCATAATTACTTTTTAAAAAGACAATTTTTTAAATTTTTTTAAATTTTTAATGCAACATTTCCCCCATGCTAATTTTTATGAAAGTTTTTAAAAATTTTATTTAAAAAAAAAAATTTTGCGAAGGGGAAAAAGAAAAAAAAATTTATACAATAAAAAGTCCCATGAAATATAACCAATAAATTTTTAAGAATATGAAAAGATACCCTTCTGGGCACTAAAGTGAAATATGGTGGTGGTTACTGAAAAAATCAATGAAAAAATCACAGGAAAAACCTTTAAAATTTAAATTTTGAATCTTTTTAATTCTTTTTACTTTTTTTTAAACCCCTAAGTAATTTTTCCCTCAAGCCCTGTTTTTTTCTTTAAATATTTAGTCTCGTCTGGAGCCTGGTGCAGCTTTAAAATAAATTGATAAAGCTGTAAGTCCATGTAAGTAAGTGTTTAAAACTAAGTACAGGAATGCTCTAAAATGTCTAAAGTATTATATAAGAGATTTACTGCCCTCTTTCTAGTTAAATACTGATGTATTTTCTTATTAAAAACTTGCAGATGCTTGTTAGTGGAATTCTGAAGTATTAAAGAAAACAAAACCCCTTACTTCTATGCTAACAGAAATTATGGTGATAAATTGTAAGCTCAGTTATATTTACTCAAATCTTACAAAATGTCACTTGGATATATATATATACTCATACATACTGGTCATAATTGTTATCATGAAGTTTGATACTAAGTAAATTGGTTGACACATCTGAATGATTTGGAGCTTTATAATATCACACTACAAAAAGTGTATACATGTCTGATGATCAACTATCTAAATAAAATAAAAACATTAATCTCTCAATGAAGATTTAAACTTGAATACACATTCTTAATTCTAGCAACTTTTGGGGTTATTCGCACATTACATCACATTACATGTAATTTATAACTTGAATATTGGGTCTTTTTACTTCTTAAAATGTTATTTCATTTTTTTCAAGTTTGATTTTCTTGAAATATTTTGGCTCATCTAGTGGCATGCAGCTTTAAAATGCCTTTGTCCTTTTATATAGAGTGACTTCCCTTTTGTAACTGCATTCATAGTGAAGACAAAAGATATTTGGTTATCTTCTGGTACAGCAGAAGACACCAAATAGTTTACACAGAACTTGGCAGAAGATGTGTTTTCTCAATAATCTCTTTTGACCTCAGATTATATATATTGAAATTGTTTGACAACTAAAATTTTCCCCGGACTGTTAAAACTAAAGTGTCAGTAATCAAGGTTGCTTATACCAGGCTGAAATAGTTAAGTTCCCTTGATTGAAATTGAATTGAAGGGTAAAATGACAAAGAATAGGCAAAATTTACTCACATCATGGACTTACAAAAGCTATATATTATATTACGAGAAAAACAAACATTTTTTTGTTAAATAAAGAATGAAACTTTATTTGTTTTATGTGAAAATTAGGCCAGTAAATGTTCAGGAAATGAAGAAAAAGCACAATGTTGACTTAATTGATAAGAATCAATCTGTTACAGATTTATCAAATCAAGCTTTAAGTGAAAAAAACTAATATTGAGTAATAATAATGGAAACTTAATATGTTGATATAAACATAAATTAGAGGAATATAGGCAATATTCTTTGTCATTATGTGATTGAATTGAAATTTGTTGATCGATACTTTAAACTGACTATGGTCAATCTAGTTAAACTACATGTATTGTTTCATCGTAGAAGTATAATGAAGAAGTAACAGCTTTGAAAATCGTGAATATCCTGATATGGATCACAAAATGAATATCATTGAATATCGCTATATCGATATTCATCATCCGATACAATATTGATACACACTTTCAAATATCGATACAAGCTATCATTTATTTATTTCTGTTAGTAAATACATTTGTATATACCCCTCAATATTGCCTCATAAGAGAAGTCACTTTTTTCCAGTTTTCTAGGCTAACTTGAACTTTAAACTCTGTTTTCAAATGTCAGTGACAAAAATAACAGAACAAAGAAACTTTCTGTTAGTTTGTAGTATTTGTAGTCTAATACAAGCAAGCATAGCTCCATGATCCCACTTTAAAACACACATTTCCATGTTTTTCATTGTATCTTATGTTAAAGTCGATGCATCGGTATATCGTCGATATTTGTCTACAAAATTGTCCATCAATGACAGCCCTACACCTGGCACAGATTATCCATTGTCTGGGTGAGAGAAGCTCAAAATAGATTTCAAAAGTGAAAACTTCAGAAAATCTGTTGTAGAGATTTGGAAGACTAAAAGCTTAGATTGTTGGTATTTGGCATAACCCAGTGCACTTCAGTTTGTTCAAGAGTAACAAAATATTTGACCCTCAGTCCTTGGGGGCATGAATGGCCTCACTCTAGTGGTTGTTTGTGTATAAAATACCTTGTTTGAAACCACAAATGATAGAGCCTTAGAAACATGATGTATTGTTAAAGTCATCTCAAGTCAAAATACACATGTAATACAGATTTGTGTTGTTTTTAGCTCGACTATACGAAGTATATGGAGAGCTGTCCTACTCGCCCCGGCGTCGGCGTCCGCGTCCAGATTTTAGATTAAAGTTTTGGTGCAGTAAAATATTTTTCACTATAACTTTGTCATTTCTTAAGGTATCAACTTCAAACTTCAAATATATGTTCCTTATCATCAACCACATCTTATGTGACAAGGTTCATAACTCTAGCACCAATATTTTCAGATTTATCTCCCCTTGAACTTAGAATTTTTCTTAAAAGATACTATTTTTTACTGATACTTCTTTATTTCTAAAGGGATCAACCTCATACTTCAAATATATGTACCTTATCATCATCCCCCATCTTATGTGACAAGGGTCATAACTCTAGCACCAATATTTTCAGATTTATCTCCCCTTGAACTTAGAATTTTCCTCAAAAAATACTATTTCTTACTGTTTCTTCTTTATTTCTTAAGGGATCAACCTCAATACTTCAAATATATTTACATTATCATCATTCCCCATCTTATGTGACAATGTTCATAACTCTAGCACCAATTATTTTTTAGATTTATCTCCCTTTGAAAACTTAGAATTTTCCATACAAAAATATTATTTTTTTACTGTAACTTATTTATTTCTAAAGGGATCAACTTCATACTTCAAATATATTTACTTTATCATCATCCACATCTTATGTGACAAGGTTTCATAACTCTAGCACCAATATCGCAAGAATTATCTCCCCATAAACTTAGATTTATTTACTAGGAAAAATGTTATTTTTTTATTTTAACTTTTTTATTTTAAAGGTATCTACCTCAAACTTCAAATACTTATTCCTTTATAATATTTACATTTTATGTGACAATGTTCATAACTCTTGAAGCAATATTTACAGATTTCTTCCCTTTGAACTTAGGATTTCTTTAAGAAATATAATAACTTCTTTTATTTTTTAAGATTTTTCTACTTCAAATTTCAAATATTATTTTTTACATTACAAAAAATGTTTTTGTGCAAGGTCCAAATTTCTTGCATGATTTTTCAGAATTATTCCCCTTGCTCTTGGAATTTATTTAAAAAATTGTTATTTTTTTTTACTATAATTTTTAATATTTTAATTTTACTTTAATTTTGATTTTTTTTTCATAGTTTTTTTCCTTTTTTACTGCTTTCCAGCATTTATTAGTCGAGTTTCCCGCTGTCCCTTTTGGGGACATTTTTGTTTTTTTTCCTTTTTTTTTTAATTTATTTAAAAAAAAATTTTTTAAAACCCATGATCTTTTGGGAATTTCTAAATTTGGACTTTTTCCAGTTTTCCTTTTAATGGACAGGGCCCAAATTACCCAATTTTTGGGGTAAATTTCAAGAAAAAATTTTTAAAAAATTTTTACATAGAGATTGGAATGTACAAAACTGGCCTGGTGACAAAGTCTAATCAGTACCTGTGAGCAGGGTTAAAATATTGTTAAAGCTGAATGCCTCCCCAAGAGCCAAAATATTTCAAGAAAATCCAACTTGAGAAAAATGTACTTAAGATTTAAGAAAATAAAAAATAGTCAGAATTCTTATTCAAAAAATAATTATTATTATTTACATGTTATATGCAATTTACGACTGTTTTTGCAGTTACAAATTTATCTGCATATTTCTACTCCTTTATTCATGAAGTAAGGTCAGTTTTGCATATTCTGACCTAATTTTGGTTATTTTTGCAGATTTTAAGTGCAGTTTGCAATATGTAAATTACTTTTTTCAATATTTTCCTTTTTTGCTGCATTTTGAAAAGCATTTTGCTGTAAAAGTGTGCATCTTAATTCATAGTTTGTTAATAATAAAGCATCTAAGGACATTTTAAATTCGACATGTAAAACAGGAGGTAAAATTCATAAGGTTAAAATTGATTAAAATCTTAATTTTAAAATTACTTTGGTACATGCAAACATGATAATGATTTCTGTGTCAGATAGAGATGTTCAACATTTTGATCTCTTTATAAAATGTAGTTTAATGGAAATAGCTGATTTGTAAAATCTTCAGCTTAAACACAAAAAATTGAAAACATCAAAAGAATCTGATTTGAGTTAAAGGTTCATGCCTGTATTGATGTATTGAAAATAAGACGACAAAACTATCAGAAAAATGCAACATTTAAATCATGTTTATAAATTAAGTAATTAAATCTAACAAAATCACTTTAACTTTAATTTTCATAGTTTTACTCATAATATAATTATATTGATTTTAAGAATAGTTGCTATAAATGATAATTGTTGTGTTATGTATTAACTATTTGCCTGACTATTATGACTCTGGTTGATAACTTTATAATAAATGTCCCATAAAAATGTCAAGAATCAGGAGACATTCTGCTTCTGTTTGTTTTATTGGGTTTTACATCACACCAACATAGTATATGAGGAAGTTCCAGCTTTCCTGGTGGATGAAGATCTCAGGTGCCCTTCCGTGCATTATTTCAGGCACAAAAGGGCACCTGTGTAGAACCATCAACGTTCTGTAAGCTAGCTGGATAGCAACCTCACATGAAAGAATTCAAAGTCCCTGTAGGGATTAGACCTTAACCACTCGGCCACAGACGCCCCTACATTCTGCTTTTAAATCAAGTAAAATATTTATAATGAATATTTGATGTAAATTCATTGTTCAAATTTCATACATGTACATGGGAAAGTACAAGACAGAAGTTGTCAAACAGAAAATATGTACCGGTATAATAATCAGAACACCTTATCCTTTCATATGTAAAGACATACCTTTACAGGTGTTTTAAGCTTAGAGGTTATAATTTACAAGGATCTGTTACATGTAGGATGTTCATTTTTCTTACCTGGATATATTTCATATCCTGTTGAAGTGTTCATGTAAAATAAAGTTTTGTTAAAAAACGAAAACTTTGAAAGATTTTAATTGTTGTCCTACAAATATGTTTGGTAATAAGACACCAATATCCTGGTTCAACTTAAAGAACAGATACTAGTATATGATATATCATCAGAGATTTCTGTAATATCATTACAGTGTGTGGGTGTTATTTAACTTACTATGAAAGAGATTCTCTGTATATTGTATTTTAGTGACGGCAATTTGTCTCCAGATTCATACTAATTGTCAAAAAAAAATTGAAATTTATTTTAAAGTGAAATGTAAATTAATCGAGGGCTTAGAGTTAAACTGGTCCGTCTTTATACAGAAATAAAAGTTGAGAGAGACCAGTTTCAGTGACTCTAAACCCTTGTGTTGTCAAGTGAAAAAAGAAAGGATTTTACATTACAATCTATATAAACTGCTAAAAGCAGATCAGAATATGCAAAAATATCCTTTATTGCATAATACTACAAAATTGGTCATCATTATTGCACATGACATGTAAATTATTGTTTGAATATTTTTACTTTTCTTAAAATCTTAGTACATTTTTCTCAAGTTTGATTTTTAAAAAAATATTTTGGCTGATCTGGAGGTATGAAACCTAAAAATAAACACATATCCTGATATGGACCACGAAATGTCAATATCCTGATATGGACCACAAAATGTCAATATCCTGATATGGACCACAAAATGTAATATCCTGATTAATATAATAATGGACCACAAAATGAATATCCTGATATGGGCCACAAAATGTCAATATCCTGATATGGACAACAAAATAAATATTGACTAAGGTTCATTTCATTTGTGGCTAATTTTAATTGAAAAGTGAAATAGTTTATTACATTTGTTGATCTTTTTCCTTCTTTCTCTATGTAAAATTTCCCCTCTGCCTCTAAAAAAATGGGGGGGGGGGGTGAATTCTCAAAAATATGAGTGAATCCCCCCATCCCCCCTCCTAGAATAGACGTTTGATACAGCTGAAACCTGGTGGCAACACGAATTTCTGAAAGAGAACTTCACCAAAAAATGACATATCATAAATAGGCCTTTGTGAAGGAAATATAAAAAAGGTAAAATAGCAGTTTATTAACACAATTAGAAAAAAACTCACCTGTCCCCATTCAGTTCCATTATATTACCATTCACATGGACTCATTGCAAATCCACTGCCTTTTTTAACTGAGGTAAATTTTGGTGATCCATATTAAGGTTCTTTCCCTGTAAAAATGACAGATCATGATATAAGTATATAATTTGTATATATATTTTTTCAGGGACATGCAGCCCCTATTTTGTATGCAGCATGGGCGGAGGCTGGATTGTTCCCTCGAGAGGATCTGTTGAACCTGAGAAAGTTATCATCAGATCTTGAAGGTCACCCTACTCCTGTAAGTCATGTACTAAATTATATTAGCGATACTCTCAGTCTGACAACCTCTTACATTATATGATATTTAAACACATTAAAAAGTAATGATTCATAGCCCAGCACTGTTATATATAGTACAAAATTTACTGTAATTATAACATCCAGACAAATTTGTATAAAATTAAAAAAAATAGATATAATTAAACATTGTTAGTGTTGACATGAGTATCAGAATTTATTAAATGCAGATTTTTTCATTTTTTATACGCCCGTTTGAAAAACGGGACGTATTATGGGAACGCCCCTGGCGGGCGGGCGGGCGGCGTCCAATTTTGTCCGGAGCATATCTCCTACATGTATGGAGGGATTTTAATGAAACTTCATAGAAATGTTCACCACTATGAGGAGCAGTGTCGCGCACATGAACCAGGTCTCTAGGTCAAAGGTCAAGGTCACACTTAGAGCTCATTGAAAAATGCTTGTCCGGAGCAAAACTTCCACATGTATAGAGGGATTTCAATATTACTTGGCACAAATGTTCACCATTGTTAGGCGGTCCTTGCGGCCAAGGTCAAGGTCACACATAGAGGTCAAAGTTCAGATAAAAATATGAAGATGTGTATATGGACCATTTAGTCATCATTTATTGAGGGATTGTAACACAAATGGTCTTATCAAGACTATGGCTGTGATACATATAATTTAGGTCAATATATACAAGGTCAAGGTCGCTAAAGATGATGAATTATCCAGATTTTGTTCGGAGCATATCTCCTACACGCATGGAGGGATTTTAATAATACTTTATGGAAATGTTCACCACCATGATATGTATTGCTCCATGCATGATCCAGGTCTCCAGGTTAAAGGTCAAGGTCACACTTAGAGCTCATTGAAAAACGTTTGTCCGGAGCAAAACTTCTACATTCATAGGAGGATTTCAATATAACTTGGCACAATTATTCACCATTGTGAGGCTGAGTGTCGCACGCAAAGTTCAGATCCCTGTGACCAAAGTCAAGGTTACACATAGAGGTCAAAGTTCAGATAAAAATTTGAAGATGTGTATAGGGACCATTTAGTCATCATTTATTGATGGATTGTAGCACAAATGGTAACTATCGTGACTACAGGTATGACACATTTAATTTAGGTTAATATTTGCAAGGTCAAGGTCACTGGAGATGATTAAATATCCAGATGTTGTCCGGAGCATATTTTCTACATGCATGGAGGAATTTTAATGGTACTTTATAGAATTGTTCACCACCATGAGACGTAGTGCCCTGCACATGAACCAAGTCTTGAGGTCAAAGGTGAAGGTCACAGTTAGAGCTCATAGAAAAACGCTTGTCTGGAGCAAAACTTCTACATGCATAGAGGGATTTCAATATAATACGGCACAAATGTTCATCATTGTGAGGCTGAGTGCCATGCATAAAATTCAGGTCCCTGCGACCAAGGTCAAGGTCACACATCCTGTGCATATCTTCCCTACTGATTTGTTTTAAGGTTCATTTAACAACACAGTGCCAACAATAAAAACTTGCTTGCTAGATAACACTTATCCATAATGCCCCCATCTCCATCTAAAGCTTTCGTAAACGGGCGTATTTTGTGACTATGGCACCCTTGGTGACTGTTTGTTAATGTAGGACTGTTGAATATTTTTGCAGGTGGGAGAGAAGTGTCCAAAATAGTTCAGAAGATATGTGTGAATAAAAAACAAAGAAATACACTCCTGCTGTGAGTTATTCATTAATTGGGTGTCTAGGCTGAAAAGTTTTGTACTGTTAACCCTTAAACAGCTGGCATAGAAAGTGGTGAACCTTTGTCACCAGCAGAGTGCGACGTGAGCCTGCTTTGTTATAAAACTGTTGGTATCTGACCACTGGTATCATAATGCTGGATCCTCTCAAAGTTTATTACAGAATGTTCCCAAGCTGGAAAAATCTATGTATGACTTAAACTGTATTATTGTCACATGTAATATGTATTGTTGTTTTTATTTACAGAGGTTGAATTTCATAGATGTTGCAACAGGTTCTCTAGGTCAGGGCCTCAGTGTTGCCGCAGGAATGGCCTATACCGGGAAATATTTTGACAAATCTGAGTAAGTGAATGTTGTGTCCATCCTCTAAATATTTAAATAAAATTGAAAATAATGCTTTGAATCAATAGTATGTTATAAATCCATTATAATCACACAAGTGAAAAAAAACCCATAAAATGTAATGCTTGCCTATTGTGGTAAACATAAATTATGATTGTATGCGGTTTTACCTAGTTGTATTTTTTTGTGCCAATTCTAATGCATGTAATTAGTGCCTTGATTTTGGCCTATTTTTTAAAGCTCGAAAGTAGCCAGTTATGTGGCGTGACTAAATAAAACTCAACAATAATATTGATAATCATGATTTTTGTATATTTACAGTTACCGTGTATACTGTCTGGTAGGAGATGGAGAAAGTGCTGAAGGGTCTATCTGGGAGGCCCTGTCCTTTGCCAGTCATTATAAACTAGATAATCTAGTGGCTGTATTTGATGTGAACAGACTAGGACAGAGTGATCCTGCCATGTTACAACATGATATGGGTGTATATGAAGCCAGGTTGAAGGCATTTGGGTGAGTTATAGTAATGCTGTGTTTTTTTCTTGTTTTATCTTTTTTGAAAGAATAATTATGATTAATTTGAAGAAAAGAGTAGTGATAAATATGTTGATGTAAGTTTGTCAACAGCACAGTCAATTAATACACTTTACTGAGTTTCTGTTGATTATTTCTCATACAAACATGGAAACATTCCAGCTAGCTTAGAGAAAATGTTCTATGTTACATTCAGGTGCTTTATCTAAGCCTAAAATACATCATAAATCACAAAGTTGCTATTTGAATGCCTTTAACTTATATATCAAAGATCTACAAATAATCGTATAACAAGTATTTTCTGACATAGAAATATATTTTATATTCTGACCTTTGGATCTTTGTAACCATAGTAATTTTATTGTAACTGGTTAAATAATTTCATAGACCATTACTTATTCTTGTTAAAAACTGAAAAGTTATTTTGTCTATAACCCTTATCACACTAAATATCATAAATAGACTTGCCCATCTTTTAATCTGGACCAAACCATTTATCACTTTTAGGGAAAATTTCAAAATATAAATTGATAATTAGTTTTATACAAAAATCTCACTTGAACGAAATTTTGGTTACTAATTTATGTTTGACATTTCGCGTAACTTTAATTATTTATTGAATTCCTTTATGAATATGTACAAGAGTGAGTTATAGTAGCTGGTCTATGTCTTGTATCAAAATCATACAGTGATAAATTACTATTATAAATGTATATAATGTTACGATATTTTTCTAGATTGTATTAGAAATTGGAGATAAAATATGATTATTTATGATAATTATTCCTTCCTCAGATGGAACACGTACGTTGTTGATGGCCATGATGTGGAGACACTGTGTAAAACATTCCATGATGCAACAACTTGTAAAGACAAGCCAACTTGTATCCTAGCTAAAACATTCAAAGGAAAAGGATGCCCAGGTAATAACTTCCCCATACTTTAAATCTTGTGAAAATTGAACTTTAGTGAAAATTCAATGATTTTTTTGCAGTTGTTTTCCCCCTTGTATTGTACTCTCTAAAAAATTAAGATTAGTAGATGGTTTACTTATTTTAGAGCTTTATTGAATAATTAATGGAAAGGAAACACGCCTTTATTTCTTTATATTACTATAAAAAACAACTATGAACAGGATTTCATAAAGTATCGAATTTTGTTCTTCTATGAAAATAAACACAGAGAATTTTTAATAAATACAGCGTTTTAATTGGATGACAAATAAAGGTTGACACTAAATTTCTTTTGTGTCTGCTCATCAATGAAATGATTTAAATGAAAAATACTACCGACCAGCATTGTTCTTATATTTTGTATGTCACTTCTTTACTGACTTTCAGAAATTGAGGATTTGATGAATTGGCACGGGAAGCCACTTGGAGCTAAGGCTGATAAAGTTATAAATGAAATACAAAAGAACATGAAGAGTCAGTCTATGTCGTTACGACCACAGGCCATAACAGCTTCCGTACCAGATGTTGATATTACCAACATAAAGTTGGCAGATCCGCTAAAATATGAAATGGGACAACAGGTAATGTTAATGAACGTCTCATTTAGAAACTTGATACTGATCTTTTTGTTTAAACATATCTATTCTCAGATTCATATGCTGGACTAAAATGCTTACTTGTTCTCAGCTTAATTTTATTTGCCCATATAAAAAAACAAAACAAGGTTTAACAAATTGTTTACAAAAGTAAAAATCAGACCTTGTTGAAATAATCTGCTAGTTTTATACAGCAATAAATTATGCCGGACATACCATCCTTGCAGAACCAATTACAGTCAAAGAAGAACTATTTATATCACATGTGTTCTCTTGATTTTATATTTATTGTGTGTTTTTTTATTCAAACACTTCTGATTCTTTTGGTGTTTCATATGGCTTTAAAAAAGCCTGATCCAACAACAAAATTGTACAGTTTTACTGAATTGATCTTAAACAATTTTACAATCAAAACTAAATGCCCATGCATATACTTACTTAAGCTCTGAGGGATTGCCTCAATATGATTGATCAGGGATCTTGATGTCTGGTAGCAGGTGTTTTCAGGGGCCTCCCATAGGGACTGAAATTAGTAAATGTAAAATTTCATGACAAAACATGACATGATGAAATGTTCCAAATTGGTAAAAGATAGAAATACAGTATGATGTTCTCTTTTCTTACTTACAAAGTCAATGGACAAGTCTGGTAAAATCTACTTGTCCAGCGACAATATGTCCTGAGTTGGACATTAATTGTGCCTAACCCTGTACCTATCACTATTCACTTATTACAATGAAATGTTTTTATTCAAACTGAAAAATGGACAAGTCCATGAAAGATATTTACCATGGTAAGGTTGAGATGTGGAAAGTAATGAATTAATTCAAGTATAGCTAGTCAAATATACATGTATACGATCATTTTGGAAAACAACGCATTTAATTTTGTCATCTTAGTGCAGTAACGGGTTAAGTCCTTCTAAATTTGATAGGATTTAACCAGTTATTACACTAAGGTGACATTATTTTCCCCAGACCTGTCTGAGGAAGGGAAAGTAGATACTGGGTGTATATACTCATATATATATACATGAATGGACAATTTGGAATAATAAATTAATATTTGTACATTTCAGGTTGCCACTAGGTTAGCATATGGAGAGGCTTTGGCGAGTCTTGGTAAAAATAATCCAAGAGTTGTAGCATTAGATGGTGATACAAAAAACTCCACATTCTCTGACAAGTTCCGGGTAAGCTGAATCATGTAAATCAATAAAATGAGTCGCGTCATGACAAAACCAGCATAATGGGTTTGCGACCAGCATGGATCCAGATCAGCCTGCGCTTCCGTGCAGTCTGATCAGGATCCATGCTGTTTGCTTTCAATTTCTATAACAAGTAGAGACACCAATAGCAAACAGCATGGATCATGATTAGAATGCGCGGATGCCCAGGCTGGTCTGGATCTATGGCAAACACATTTTGTTGGTTTTGTCGTGACGTGGCTTTAACAAATAGATTGCTAGGTCACCTTTTAGGTCAAATAATTAGTTTATCTGACTATGGTATTTTCAAATAAGGACCAAGATGCATTGTATTGTAAAAGTAGGGATTGATGAATAAAGATGATGTTTTCATTAATGTCATTATCACTTTTTGAAGTCACACTTGTAGTTCAGTTTACAGTTATTTTTGCAAAGATGTTTTTGATGGTCTCATGTGAATTTTAAGCACAAAAGCATATTACGCATCAGAATTGAATACTTTTTTCTTTTTTAGAAAGGGCAAACATGCATTTATTATTGTTTAGACAAGGGATTTCAATTATTTTTTTTATGTGAATCACTAGAAGTTGATGTGAAATAGTTTTGTCATAAAAGTAGCAAACAATAATAAAGTGGTATTTTTGACTTCCATACAAAATAATATATAAAAATAGTCAGAAAACATAATATATCAAATAAATCAAATATATCAATGTATAAAAAAGTCAGATTTCCAGACAGCGTATTTTCTGTACAGGTTGCCCACCCAGATCGCTATATCGAGTGCTACATTGCCGAGCAGAACCTTGTTGGTGTAGGTATTGGGTGTGCTACCAGAGACAGGAATGTAGTATTCTGTAGCACCTTTGCTGCGTTCTTCTCCCGCGCGTTTGATCAGATCAGAATGGGAGCCATCTCACAGACCAATGCCAACTTTGCTGGTTCCCATGCTGGTATATCTATAGGTAAGGGGACAGTCCTGATGGTTCAACTTTTAAAATACATTTTGTATTCTTAATCAGATGTATAATTATGGAATTATAAAAAATCTAGTATTCTTTCCTTGCATTTGAATGTGTTTTGAATTACAGAGGAAAGCTCTTTGATTAAGTTATTTGTTAATAAAAGTGTTTCTAACTAAACACAAAGTTTAACAATTTTACAAATAGTTGATCAATGGAACCTGATAAAAAGGGTTTCATCAAATTTGCTGATTGTTGGAACATTACACCCAGTAATTAAGATACACTCGGAAATATACATGAATGTATAAAGATTTAGGTAAAGTGCTTCAAAATAAAGCAGCTCAGCCCTAAACTAATTACAAGGTGAACAGTAGGATAAAATTCAATGAAAATATTTCATTAGATCAATATTGCAAAACTGATTGTAACATGTAGAGACTCGGCTAGATGTGATTATGATTAAGAATATGATTATATAGCTTTTGAAATTTCTTTAGACTTGAATATATTTGGCCAGCTATAGCTTTAACCCTTAAAACACAAAGCCAATTTCCTACTAAATTTAACTATTATGATAATACAGGTGAAGATGGACCATCTCAGATGGCTTTGGAAGATCTGTCTATGTTTAGAAGTATTCCTGGATCTACAGTGTTCTATCCCAGTGATGCTGTGTCTACACAGAGAGCTGTAGAGCTGGCAGCCAACACTAAGGGAGTGTGCTTTATTAGAACCAGTCGACCAAATGTCCCCGTTATCTACAGCAATGATGAAGTATTTGAGGCTGGAAAAGCCAAGGTAAGCTTTTTATAGAGTCAAATAATGTTACCAGTCCACAATATACTGTTATTTTGTGAAGGAAGGAATTATATTTATTATATTGATAAGGAAAGCTTTCAAATTAAGGACAATTCCAAATAAAAAGTTGGGCAAGTTACTCAAATTCACTAATAGTAATAGATGAAGTAATCAATGAATAATGAATGTTTGCTGATTTGTTAAATTATGTCAGTCAGTTAATAATATTTATCTTATATAGCCAGGGGTTCTATGATATTACAGTACTTAACATTTTTTGAAAATTATTCAAATATAAATATCATACATGAATGGGATTTTTCTTCTATTTAATTAATGATTTTTTCCAAAAACATTTGTCAAAAGAATTATTTAAAAATATCTAATTATAATGTTATTTTGAACTATTCGCAATGTCTGCCATTTTGGGTAATTGCAGAGGAGGTTACTATGGTATCACGGTAATCCCTAAAAATGCAAGTATGGACGGATAGATGGGTCTAAATCTTCAAGTTAACTATATGAAAAGACAATATGTCAGTTTATGTGATTATAACATATTTTAATAGACAGTGTAAAAACAATTAAAGGAAATAGTAGTTAAATATGAAAATATTATAAAATTGTTTTCTTGCCACGAATACATTCATTATTCAGAAAAATAAAATCATTGGCTGAGTGTGCCAGTTTTAAAAATATTAGCATCATTATGTGTTGCTTTTACTAGCAGTCACAGAAAATGTAAATACCGTGATATCATAGAATCCGTGATATCACAGGAACTGAGTATACATCAAGTTTTATTTTTACCTATTTGTCATTGAATATGCTACACAAAATTGTACAAGGTTGTCATTATGAAAATTTTTACATATTTTGATAATGCTTAATATATATTTCAATTTATATCTTTGTTACTTATTCAATGTTAAAGGCACATTATACCTCAGACACGAATTAAAACTTCATTCTCTAAAACAGAAATTTTAGAAATTAGATAATAGTTTAATGGCATGTTAGATGCTTATCACCAGATGAAAGTAGTGTTGGATGGGAAATTATGAGTTATATAAAAGAAGCACAATTTAAACAAAGTAGTATGTTGACTTCCACACAAAATGCTAAATCACTGTAACTGCACTTAATGCCAAAAAGCAATAAAAGAAAAAATTGTCTCAGGTAATTGGTCAATGAGTTAGTTTTTAAAAATTATAACAGGACACCAAAAATAAAATGCTTTTGAAAAGAAAAAGCTTTCTGGGGCCTAACAGACTTTTATTAAGTAGATTTATATTGCACAGTCACAGAAAATATGTTTTTATATATCATAATTGTAAAAGACATGATTTAGTGTCAGTACTATGAACATTATTGCAAACTTCTCTTGAGTAGTTACTTTATAGAAATTTTTACATACATGTTCTTGAAAATCATCGTGTTAATTTCAGTTTTATTTTTATATATAAATTTGTAATGTTATTCATTTATAGGTGGTAAGAAAAAGTGACAAAGATCAGGTTACAGTTATTGGTTGCTGTGTGACTCTAAAAGAGGCCATGCTAGCTGCAGATAAACTAGCTATAGATGGTGTCAACATCAGAATCATCGATCCATTTACATTGAAACCATTTGATAAAGATACTGTACTAGCTAATGCACGTGAAACTGGAGGTAAAATAATTACTGTGGAGGACCATTATTCAGAGGGTAAGTGCATTTACTGTACAGGGCACTCGATTGGCCATTTTTGGGGCCGAATATCGGCCCCATTCCGCTTTCAAAATCATATGTTTTTTTCCCCTATTTCAGTAAAAAATTCCCCTCAAAAAAAAAAAAAAAGAAAAAAATTTTAGTGTTAGGCCTAATGTTTGATATTAAAGAAAAAGGTGATGTTGTGATTTCAAAAAAATAAAATATATTTCTGTTTAACTTTCAATGGATTGAAAACTAAAATACAATTGTCAACAACGCTGTATGTTAAAACTGAAAGTAGCAGGAAGTGAGAAATGTACAGAAGGGAGGTAACTCCCGTAAAATTATTTGTAAAATTAATGTGGCAGATAATCATAGTAGAAGTTTTCCTTATATTCAATTTGTTTAGAAAAGACGTACATTGTCATTCTTCTGCTAGAAAATAAACAAAACCATTTTAATATCTGTCAGTTGTTGTTGGAAAAAACTTATTTCTCCCTTTCTATTTGCTGTTTTGTACTCAAATATTTTCGTACCAAAATTTTCGTACCCTGAGTTTTACAGTTACAGACAATTTCCTCTGAAACCAATACCTTTCTTAGAAAAGGCATAAAACTTTCTTGTTTACTTTTAGTTAATTCTTATTTCAGTTCTCATTGTAATAATTGTTACATTCTAAAAAACAGGCTAAAATATGTAGAAAATAGATAAGAACTGACCAGTGCTGCAGATTGCAAAATAGTGTGATACATTTTTAACATTAAAAATAAGAAAACATTTATGACTAAAATAGGAAATAATTTTGCTGTGTTTTCAACATACCCTTGCCTAGGAAAGTCTGCCTCTCCAGAGCTTGTTGCACTGAATCAATATTTTTTGTACAAGTTTTTTTTTAAAAAAACAACAACAAAAGCAACTGTCAGTTTGAATTTTTTATCATAAACAAAAATGCAATATGCTTGTTATAGATTTTAATTTACCCCTTATGTTTTTCAGAATTTGCATTTTACCCCTCACTCTAGAATTCGAGGGGTATAAAACCATTGGCCAAAAACATGTATCTGAAGCTCTGATTGATGTCTGAGTCAGTCAAATGCAATAAGAAAACAATAAAGATTACAGTGAGATAGCCTACATCAAGAACAACTTCATGTTATATGTTTTATTTGATAGGTCTATAGTAATAAATATAGGAAATAGTGCCAAGAGTTAGTGTAAAACTTAAATTTAAAGAACTCATATATGGCTTAAAATTCCCCTTTTTGTCTTAAAATGTCGCAAAATTCCCCTTCCTGAGGGTATGGGTACCTGTCCCCAAAAGTTGTCTAGTGCCCTGCTGTATTGCTTAAAAGAAAAAAGAATATCAAGTATCAAAGCCCTTTATTCTGAAAGGATTTCTATTGAGGTCCAAATGCCTAAAAACATGAATTTTGAAATCCACTGGAAGATTGGAAATTGGGGAAAAATGCAAAAGGTAATGAAGAAATATACATTTGTACTTGGAATTAAATTGAAATCAAATGTAAAAGATAATGAAGAAATAAAGTCCACTTGTACAATTTGCACAATTAAAATATTGATATACATGTATATTCTGAAAAAATGATCTGAGATTATTTAATTGAAATTACTAGTTCAGATCAAATTTGACTTTTTAGGAGATGTCTATTGCCAAGTGGTTAAGGCCCTTTACTTCAGACCACTTCCCTCTCACCACTGTAGGTTTGAGTTGCCCAAATGTCATCGGATTTTACAAGTCGGAAAACTATCCATCTAGCTGATAAATGTCACACAGTTTGTGCCTGAAATAATGTACAGAGGGGCAACTGAGGTCTTCCTCCACAAGTATAGCTGGAATGTCGCCATATAATCTAAACTGTGTTGGTGTGATGTAAAACCCCATTCCCACCCCCACCATCCTCCTCCTCCCCCCCCCCCTTCGAAAAAAAAAAAAAAAAACAACAAAAAAATTGGGTTCAGACTATGGATATTTCAACATTGTTTAGGTGATATCTGTAGTTTATCACAATGAATGTAAATTAATAGCATAAAATAACTGGCATAAAGTAAATAGCATAGAATTTATTCTATTAATGAAATAATTGTCATTTTTGTGTCGCCTCTACGGAGTAGTGGCGACATATAGGGATCACTTCACCGTCGTCCGTCTGTCTGTCCGTCCGTCCATCACAAAACTTGTCCGGACTACTCCTCATGAACTACTGGTGCGATTTCATCCAAACTTTACAGGAATGATCAGTACCAAGTCTAGTTGTGCATATTGTCAGCATTTTCCGGTTCAATGATTTTTGTCAAAGTTATGGCCCTTTAATAATTTTTAATTTTAAAGTTTGTCCGGACTACTTCTCTTATACCACTAATGCAATGTCAATGAAACTTTACAGGATTGATCTGTAGCTCAAGTCCTTGCGCATGTTGCACGGGTTTTCCGCTTGAATGATTTTTGGCCGAGTTATGGCCCTTTAATAAAATTTAAAAAAGGTTTCTTTTTCTGTGTGTTGCCAGATACACAAAAGCTTGTCCGGACTACTCCTCATAAACTACTGGTGCAATTTCATCCAAACTTTACAGGAATGATCAGTACCAAGTCTAGTTGTGCATATTGTCAGCATTTTCCGGTTCAATGATTTTTGTTTGAGTTATGGCCCTTTAATAATTTTTATTTTTAAAGTTTGTCCGGACTACTTCTCTTATACCACTAATGCAATTTCAATGAAACTTTACAGGATTGATCTGTAGCTCAAGTCCTTGCGCATGTTGCACGGGTTTTCCGGTTGAATGATTTTTGGCCGAGTTATGGCCCTTTGATAAAAAGGTGTTTTTTTCTGTGTGTTGCCAGATACACAAAAGCTTTTCCGGACTACTCCTCATAAACTACTGGTGCAATTTTATCCAAACTTTACAGGAATGATCAGTACCAAGTCTAGTTGTGCACTGTCCGTCTGTCTGTCCGTCTGTCACAAAATTTGTCCCAACATGAAATTGGCCATCATGAGGCGACACATGTGATTACTGATCGCTCTTGTTTATTGTGAAAGTTTATTTTTTTGTATTTCAGGAGGTCTTGGAGATACAGTGGCTGGTGCCCTCTGTGAAGAGGAAGATATAACCATCAGGAAGTTGGCCGTGACAGAAATACCACGTAGCGGGAAACCAGCAGAACTGATGGAAAAATATGGAATCAGTGCCAACTGTATTGTTAAAGCTGTGAACCAGGCTCTATGATCATAGATTGAAAACATTAAACCAGTCTATAGTGGCGGAAATAACAAAAATACAATAATTGTTCCAAATTTCAGGCATTAATTAGACATAACTTTAGGTTTATTATTAGAATTTCTAGCATCGAATGTCAAGGCTGTAACAGCTCTTTTGTTATTGTAATAGTTTTTAAAGAAACCTGGACAAAAATTGTTTCCAATTGTTTTGGGTTAAACCAAATAGTTGTGAATTAATAAGCAATAAAAGCAACAATTCCTTGTTTTTATGCCCCCGGGCATATAGTAATTGAACCGTCCGTCTGTCCGTACGAGGTTAACCTAGAACGGCAAGTTGGATTTTTCTTAAGTTCTACCTGTACCAATGGGTTCTAAGTTTACACACTTACTAATCAATACAAAGTTCGTGATCTGGGCAAGTTTCATAACTCTGGCTTTCATATTTACCAAGTTATTGCCCTTTTCAGCTCTTAGAAAATGAATAATGGTTAACCTAAAACGGCAAGTTGGAAATATCTTAAGTTCTATCTATACTAATGGCTTTATAATTAGCACACTTACTTATCAATACAAAGCACATGATATTGCCAAGTTATATAACTGTGTCATCCATATTTCCCAGTTATTTCCCTTTTTTCACTTTGAAAATAGGGCCTTGTCTGGTTAACCTATTTCGGCAAGTTGGATTTATCTTAAATTTCTCCTAATTGCTTAATTTCTTTACTGATATCTTTCATATTTAGTAGGTGGATACCTTTGATGGTTCTCTAATTTTTTTGGAGTAAGCGGTCTCTAGGGTCAATGTCAAGGTCACTGGTTTAAAAAATAAATATAAACATTTTTGCTCATACAGCTTTTATTTTTTAGATGATGTCTTAGTTTAATACAAACACCTCCTTCTTTGGGTGTAGTATTGGGTCATTCGGGTCAAGGTCAATGTTACCAATGTCAAGGTCACCAATGTTAAAAATAGATTTTTACATTTTTACAGGTGTATTGACCTTATTCTATAGACAGATGTTATTTATAATTGATAGAAACATAAACTTTGATGGAGTTAGTGGTCAGTTGGGTCAAGGTCACCAGTGCTAAAAATAGATTTTTACACATTTGCTCATACAGCCTTTATTAAGTGACAGATATATTTTATATTTGGTAGGAAGATAACTTGCATGGTATTCATCCTTTTGATTGTGGTTGGGATCAGTGGGTCAAGGTCACTTGTGCTAAAAATAGATTTTTACACTTTTGCCCATACAGCTTTTATTTATTGACAGTTGTATTTCATATTTGGTAGGAAGATAACTTGCATGGTATTCTTCCTTTGATGGAGTAAGGGGTCAGTTGGGTCAAGGTCACAAGTGCTAAAAATAGATTTTTACACTTTTGCCTATACAGCCTTTATTTATTGCCAGATGTATTTCATATTTGGTAGGAAGATAACTTACATGGTATTCTTCTTTTGGATAGAGTTAGGGGTCAGTTTGGTTAAGGTCACCAGTGCTAAAAATAGATTTTTACACTTTTGCCCATACAGTCTTTATTTAATGACAGATGTATTTCATATTTGGTAGGAAGATAACTTGCATGAAGTTGAATATTTTTCATCTTCACAAGTCAGAGCAATGACTTGGCAACTTATATTTTTCACAATTACAAAATGCCATGACTTTGTCAAGCTATAAAACTTGTGTTTACAATTTTTTGGAGATTTTTCTGTCCATAAGTGAGTGAATGGGTAAACATTTTTTGAAGTATTGCTACTGACAAGAATCTGAGACGGGGGCATTTGTGTTTAACAAACACGTTCTTGTTAATTTCTCTTATTGATTTTACTGTATCTGGTATATAGCTAATATTTGCTGTAGTGCTTTTCGATAACATGTTGTTTTTGTATTGAGCTTTTTTTTCTACCATTTATAAAGGTATTATAAACAGATTTCTGTATTGTTACAAGTTTTTGGTGCACTTATTTTTAATACATGTAAGTCTTTTGTAGTATTTTGCATTGTTGAATTGATAGATGTTTATTAGCCATGGCTAGAATGAAAATACAATCATTTACTTGTTAGGTGTATAAATCTTGCTGTAAATGTTTTTTTGTTTTCAGATAGAATACTATATTATGGTAAAACTTGTTCATGAAATTAGTTCCCACTAACAGTGGAATGAATAAATCCATTATTGATCATAATTGTATGATGAAATAAAGAAAAAAATATATTTTGATTTAAAGGAAATTAAATAGTAAAAGTTTGTTGGTACTTTGTTGTAAAGTTTAATTTATATAAAATATTTCAAACAAAATATTTAGCTGTTACAAGAATGATCCTTAAGTTGAATTTTTTTAACATTGTCAATAACAATTTTAGATATTCATTTGCCTCGTATTTATATGAGGTATGGTTTTTTGAATGTCATATTAATGTTTTGAAGGACAAACATCTAATAAATGTAACCTCATAGTTTTGTGTTTAAATTTTACTTTTAGCTCACCTGTCACAAAGTGACATGGTGAGCTTTTTCGTCCGGGTAAACTTTTACTATTAACGACATCTCCTCATAAACCACTAAGCCAATTTTTTCCAAACTTCACAGGAATGTTCCTTTGGTGGTCATCTTAAACATTTGTTCAAAGAATTTAATTCCATGTAGAACTCTGGCTGCCATGGCAACCAAAAGAAAATACTTAAAATATCTTCTTTAAGAAAATCCAAGAAGGTAGAGCTTATATATTTGGAAGTGCGTGTGTATCAAATAAAATCTTTGGGATCAAAATTGGTCCCAACCCGGGGGGAGGGGGTCATTGAGTTTCCTTACATGTATATAGTAAAAACTTAAAAATATTGTAGAAAACCCCAAGAGCTAGAGCTTAGATATTAAGCATTAAACATCTTCTGATGAGTATCTACAAAGTTTGTTCAAATAAAAGCCCTGGGATCAAAATTGGCCCCGCCCTGGGGGTACTGATTTTCCTTATATGTCTAAAGTAAAAACTTTAAAAAAATTCTTTTCAATAACCCATAGAGCTAGAGTTTAGATATTAAGCATGAAACATCTAGTGAGTGTCTACCAAGTTCGTACAAATTAAGGCCCCAGGGTTAAATTGGCTCTGGACGGGGGGTCTTGATTTTCCTTACATGTCTATAGTAAAAACTTAAAAAATCTTTTTTAAAAAAACCCAAAAGAGCAAGGCCGTAGATATTAAGCATGAAACATATTCAAATTGATGTCTACAAAGTTTGTTCCAATAAAAGTCCTTGGGTCAAAATTAGCTTGGCCGCAGGGGACATTTATTTTCCTTATATTTAACCAGGTTTTCAACGAAAACCGGGTTATTGTAATGCCAAAATCGGCGGGCGGGCGTCAACTTTTGGTTCCGCTCAATAACTTTAGTTTGCTTTGGCCTATAGACACCAAACTTGGTGTGTAGGTAGCTTATATCAAGAGGCAGCTTGGGATTGCTACCCAGGTGTCTGTGATCAAGGTCACTGTTACTAAAAATAGAAATCCAGTTTCCGCTCAATAACTTAGTTTGCTTTGGCCTATTGACACCATACTTGGTGTATGGATAGCTTATATCAGGAGGCAGCTTGGGATTGCTACCCATGTGTCTGTGATCAAGGTCACTGTTACTAAAAATAGAAATTCAGTTTCAGCTCAATAACTCAAGTTTGCTTTGACTTATTGATCCAAACTTGGTGTATCAAGAGGCAGCGTGGGGTTGCTACCCAGGTGTCTGTGATCAAGTTCAAGGTCACTGTTACTAAAAATAGAAATTCAGTTTCAGCTCAATAACTCGAGTTTGCTTTGGGCTATTGACACCAAACTTAGTGTATGGGTAGGTTATATCAAGAGGCAGCTTTGGATTGCTACCCAGGTATCTGTGATCAAGGTTAATTTATTCAGTTTTCACGAAATAACTAGAGTTTGCTTTGACCTTTTGACACCAAACCTGCTGTGTGACAGCCTTGGATCGCCACTTAGATATCTGGGAGCAAGGTCATTTGCTTACAATAGAATTTTCAGCTTCTACTCAATAACTTCAGTGCACTTCCTATTGATTGCTGTCACATCAAAACTTGGTCGTTGAAAGCATTGCAGCGCTTCTTGTTGCATGTATATAGTTAAAACTTAAAGCTCTTTGTGAAAATTCAAAAGAGCGAGAGCTTAGATATTTTGCATAGAACATCTTCTAATGGATGTCTTCCAAGTTTGTTCAAATGAAAGCCATGGGGTCAACATTTGTCCAGCCCCAGGGGTCATTGATTTTCCTTATATGTACTGTAAATCCTGTATTTTTCGCGATGATGTTTTAATTTTGGCTCGAAAGGGGCTCCACTAAAACTTTTTGTCCTATTTCTCAGGTGAGCGATCCAGGGCCCTCTTGTTAATTTATATTTAGTTTGTCAAGTGCTAAGAATTAAGCATTCTCTGACTACAACCAATACGTAGGGATCACTTTCACCTGCAGTAGCCGAGTGGTTAAGGTCGTTGACTTCAAACCACTTGACCCTCAGCGTTGTGGGTTCGCATCCCGACAGGGACTTTGGATTCTTTCATGTGAGGAAGCTATCCAGCTAGCTTACGGAACGTCAGTGCTTCTACTCAGGTGCCCGTTCGTGCCTGAAATAATGCACGGAAGGGCACCTGAGGTCTTCCTCCGCCAGTCGCGATATGACCTATACTGTGTCGTTGTGACGTAAAACCTAAAACAAACAAGTTACAAGAATTGGTTTTGAGGTTCGTTATGACTAGAAGATGACCCTTTCGATTTTGAGGTCAGAAAGTCAAAGGCTTGTCACCATGACCTTGACCACTAATTACATGTTCTGCTAAAAACTAAAGAATGCTTTAAAATTTTGTGTTGATCATGACTAGTAGATGACCCCTATTGAATTTTAGTGTTTGTAGGTCAGCCATCGTCACTGAACATTAAAAGCTGTTCTAACCAGTGACTAGGGAACACTAGTTTACAGTACCAAGATTTGGTGTTGGACTTGCCGAGTGGATAACCCCATTTTTAAGGTCAATAGGTCTAGGTCACTGTGGCCTTGTCTGACTTATAACTTGACCACTAAAATATTGTCAAAAACAAGTAGAGAATACTTTGGTCTAAAGCTATTTGATTTTGAAATCATCTAAATTATGATGTCAAAGGATCATCATGGCATATAGAAAGCTTAAGCCTATAGTCTTAACATTTGGTGTTGAAGGGTAGATGGCACTTTAAAAAGAATCTTGTCTGATTAATAATTAGGGAATGCTTTGACCTACAACCGGGGGTTGGTCATTACTAGTGGATTACTCCTATTGATTTAAAGGTCATTAGGTCAAAATTCAAGGTCACAGAGGAATAATGTGTAAACTCCTTTGCCTATCAGTCACTTTAAAAAGGATAATGCCATATTTGAAACTTAGTTGTGACATTACCCATGTTAGAAGATGCTTTCTATTTCATATGAATTTACGAGGTCGTTGTGTCAAAGGTCAAGGCGACAGTGAGCCAGTCTAATCATGAGCAATAATTTTATCAGTAATCACTGGTGCCACAGCAGTGAGTCAATCGTAGTGGCTGTGAAGCATTTCGTTCGCAATGCAATTTATAAGCGGCATGAAAATGTGACTTTTCCAAAGCCGTTTTAGCCTGTTGATGGCTTTGTTGGTTTACCTGTGGGCAACACAGTAGGCCTTACAACATGCTTTACAAAGTGACTGAAGGGACATTGTTGGGAAAACAAAGACTGGTCAATTTCACCCTTCAATTTACTATGATTAAGTGGCCTTATCATTCAGACGACAGATGTGATCACTGATCGCTCTTGTTTATAACAATGTAGTAAAATATCATATTTATATGTGTTTTATTACATATCTTCAGACATTTTTCATCAATTTTTAGGCTTAATTCTGGATTCCATAATATACACGCAAAACAACTTTTTAATATAATGTTTATAATTAAGCGTTTTCATAATGACATTGTTATTGGGCTGAAGGCTGTCATATTAGCCTGATGCCAAAGGCTGAAGGTATTGCAAATGAGATTCTTGTTTTAAAAACCTACCTTGCAGCAATTCAAAATGGCGACTTTTCAATGAAAAAAAAAAAAGCAAATTCATAATGGCCGAGCTGGAGAGAATTCTCCAATCTCATAACATAAAGACCGTACATTATGCATAATGACCTTGTTTTATGTTCATAATGTCGTGGTGAACTCCATATTAGCCTAACATGAAGTGAAAACGTACCTAATATTGAAAAGTTAATTAATAAATCATTATGAAACATATACAAACCTGGTCCGTCACCATGTCCGTCCATCCTTGTAGTCTGACAAAACAGTACACTGTGGGAGCATTAAACATTTGTATAGATCTGCGTGTGACTTTAAGAAACACGTTTTTTCTTCTTCTTTTTGTGTACTTTTATATTAGTTATGTTGTTTATCAATATATGAGCCGCGTCACGACAAAACCAACATAATGGGTTTCCGACCAGCATGGATCCAGACCAGTCTGCGCATCCGCGCAGTCTGATCAGGATCCATGCTGTTCGCTAACCAACCCTATTACAAGAAGAGAAACTGATAGCGAACAGCATGGACCCTGATCAGACTGCGCGGTAGCGCAGGCTGGTCTGGATCCATGCCGGTCGCAAACGCACTATGTTGCTTTTGTCGTGACGCGGGTCATTTAGTAACTACTGTCTCACAATCACTATTTTACAGTTTCAAGTAGGTACTTGAAACTATTGTATATATGTCAACACAACATCCTTCCGCATTGTCCTGAAAATACGGATGTGTACATTGTTTGTTGCAAAATTACAAATGTTGGATAAAAATGTTTTTTTTTCTCTTCTTCTTAATCATGTATTTATCATAAAACATAGCGTATCAATTCATGTGTTGAATATTTATTATTTTTAATTTTCGAGAGGTTGATTATTAAAGCGACAGTTTTTTTCTTTTTTGGAGTAAATTTCGTATTCCTTTTCTGTGGTTATTAATTAGACGGATCTTGAAATCAAAGCGGTTGGAAAGTAATGACTGCGTTATTGTGGGGGTTAGAAAATAACCTTTGAAATAAAACTGGAATTTATAAATATATAACTAAAAAAAAAAAAAAAAAGAATAGAAAATAAGAACGATAAGTCATGTCGACAATCGTACCTGAAAATGTGTCGTATGCTCACAATTCAACTGATGCAGCAGCAGACGACAGAAGTAATGTAACGATGACGTCACCAGAAACGACTGCAATATCCGCAGCGGTAACGGAGACCACGACTAAACCTGTAACTGGAACAACGACAATAGGAAACAAAGGCACAAATTTTACAAAACAAACCAAAACAACGACTACGGTACGACCAAGTACAACAACGAATAATCTTCTCACTAGAACAACGACAAAAGAACAAATTGGAACAACGACTTCTGAAGTAACAACTACAGCATCAT